GTGAGTTTCTAATAGGGAAATGAAATTTCATTGATCTATGCTGCTCGCTATGCAATAAGACCGCCGCCATTTTTTTTTCATTTTTTTTTGTCCGCGAAATTTCATTGGTAGGCCTTTCAAATCCAGTTGAATCCAAGCGGTAACATTATCTAGCCTTGCTATTTTGATTTTGTTAAATAATCAACCCGAGTACATAATTAGCGTGGGCTAAGTCAGGAAAAATTTGTTATTTTAGCGAAAATACCGCGTCGGGAATTTAAATAACCAATACTATAAATATAGTCTGTGACTTGTTTGGACTATGAAATTTCATGATGTTTGTGTTCGTAGTTTGACTCGGTTCAGTTTTTATATTGAAAGTATTTTAACTGATTTTTAAATAAAGTGAAATGAAATCCGAACTGGGCTAATGAAGACGGGTATACGGCATACAGTGTGCTAAGAGGGAAATTTTGCCCGGACAGCGGCACTACCACCTACTCTTATATCGAATTCCAACTGTCAAGGGATCTTTTACGTGTACACCAATGTGTACACGGGACCTCGGTTTTTCGTCCCCTCCGAACGACTAGACAGCTGTCCTTGTCAGACCCTCTGTCCTGCATCACTGACAAGAGGGAACCACGCCGGAAAATCTGGATGAACTTTCTCGGCCAATGCAGGGATCGAACACCCGACCTCCAGGCTAGCGAGCCAGCGTCTTACCCACTTAGCCACCGTGACATGTTGCTTTTGTCCATATGTAATACTCTGCTAGATAACTTTCCAACAAACTCACTGTATATTATCTATGACTTGGTATTGTATTTTTAATTCATTTATATAAGTTTGGTTTTACTTCTTTTGAATATACGTGTACATTGAATATTATATATATCTTCCATTTCAGTCAAATCCAGACTAAATTCGCTCTTTCTATTACTAAAACATACAAGTTACCAAGGAAAATCTGCTACCAAGTCTCGACAAGACCAGAGGTGGGGTGTTGTGGTCTTCAGAATTCATTTATACAAGCATTACTGTAATAATTGTTATGAATGGTATGGGAAATTAAGACTCAGACGACTAGACCCACTGTCTTGGCCCTGTTAAAAATGTTTGTAAACTGTGAAAACTTGGACATATAAATAAAACTAAAACAGTATTACTCAACCATACCTCATCACCAAGGTAACATAGGCTTTACATTTTCTTCTTACTCATATAGTTTTTGTTTGCGTGTCTTGTGACACGCATATTTTAGCCCAGGTTAGGAGCAGAACAGTAGGACGTTAAACCCCATTTCATTTCATTTCATTTGTCACGCATATTGTAAGTTGCGCGTTCATCAAGTCCGTGGTTTTATTTACTAAGTTTGAACAGAAAGATTGAATTTTTTCTTGGACAAGGGTCGCGATTTGGTTTGGTAGCGAGTTATATAACTTACTTTTTTAGTCTCAAAATAAGAGATTTAAACATCGACAAGAAATATAGAAGGTATGTGTGTTTATAGGCAGCAGTTGTAAAAAATTAGTATTTCTTGATATTTTTCTGTTAAAGATATGAATAAAATATGGGGTGAGATTTTTTTTATAGTTTTTAAATAATGCATCCTTGTGTATGTTTATGATACGCGAAACCACAGTAATGATTAAATAAGTCCGTCAAACGTTAAACAGATTTGTATAGAAGTTATAATTACATGTCAGTTTTATTTCAATAGAGTAATCAATACCACATAATTGACAAATCCACTTTTGAAGGAAAATCTAAATACGTGTACTATACAGTACTGCCCGAAGATATATCTATATTTATATACTTTGATTAAAAAGTTATTTACTTTTATATGCTGCGATGACACATGTGTTATTATGAATATCATAATGTTACAAATGGATGACCTGTCAACATTTAAAATATCTATTGATAGCAAAATAGATAAAACAAAATATATATTATAGGCCCAATATAGAGTGAGCCATAATCTGCCGTCAGCTTTTATAAGAGATTTATTGATAACAATGATAATCTTGGGTGTGGTTATTCATAAAATATAATTATTCACTGAGTACCGTTTACACTGATACGCGTGTTCACTCTCTTAAAACGTATATTATTTTATAAATTAACAATCGAAAAATCTCAAGTTTAATAATTATGTGTATTTGGTTCTCTCTTTTTTATTTTCATTTATAAAGGAACAAAATGTAATATTCCCGTATATATAATCGTGTAGATAACTACGCAATTCAAAATGCAAAGGAATATTTTACGTGTACTAAGATTATGGACACGTATCTTTGATTATCTTCCATTCTAACTGGACACACTTCCCGTTCAGACTAAGAACCGAGCTTAAAGAATCTTTTTGGTCCATGCCAAACACAACCTAAGCCCAATCCTAACCACAGCACCACCACGACTCCATATTATAAGTGGTATTTTTTCTAAAGTTTATGAATCATCAGCTGTAAATGATTTACAATTTTTTCCGAAATGATTTTTCTCTGGATGAATGGAAAAATGGAAACTTATCAGAGACGGAACACATGGGGACACCAAACCAAAATAGCTCAGAAGACAATTATTCCACTGCCGAGACAAAATCATTAGAAATTGTATTACAAGTCGGTCCCAACATAACCCGCGTATAAAATTAAATAAACATTTAAAGGCACAATAACACGCCAGGATATTGGCATACTTCGTGAAAGACAAAAATATTGTAGTATTTTAATGTAAAAACTTGTAATTGTGTAATTCAGAATCTCAGAATATAAAAGCCGGCCATAAAGACTGACACGGCTTCTATGAAAAGATACAAGAGATACAAGTATATTACTTTATAGTCTTACACTTGTAAAGAATCAATGAACACATTGTCATAACTCATTGGTTTGAATATTTTTGACCGAAATGTTTATTTTTTAATAAAAGTACTTGTATACTTTTGATTGTGTGTGTTTTTTGATTGTGGCATGTTAGGACTTTAGCCTCATGTAGTCAATGTCAATCCGTTTTACTGTGGGTAAATATTTAATGTCATACCTAACTTACACGGGGTTAGAAGAGGACAATATGGATGCGTAATCGACACGACAATTACCACAAGGATTCGAACTTTACCTCTACTGCTGAGGACAAGTTTAAATAATAAATGATGGAGTTATTATATCGTGGGCTGTTTCAGGTCAACTTCTGTATATACCAAAAAGTCAACACGCAATATAAATAATGACTTTAACCTTTACTCATAATACATGTTAACCACACACTTCTTTATGGCAGTGTATGACAGGACACGTGATCTTTAGTTACAAATAGATCCACAAGAGAAAAAAATAAAAATAAAGTGAAATGAAATGGGATTTAACGTCCTACTTTTCTGCACCGAAGGGTCTGATGAAGACACGCGTACGCCATACTGTGTGTTATGGGAAAACTTTTGCCTGGACAGCGGCGCTACAACCTATTACGAATTCCAACTGTCAAGGATTCTCTTACGTGCACGCTAACGTGTACACGGGACCTTGTTTTTGTCCCATCCGAACGACTGGGCAATCCCGGGGAACTTTTTCGGCCAACACCGGGATCTAACCTTTGTCCTCCTAGTTAGTGAGTCAGCGCCTTACAGGGGCTCCTAGAAAATAAAACAGTAACAACTAAAACGCAGACACCTGGGATCTAAACTGTTTCAATGTCATTTAGTAATTGAACTATAGGTCACAATTACTGCTTATTACTGAGCGACGTTTCGACTAGGCTTCTCTAGTCATTATCAAGCAAAAACGAAGTACCAGAACACTCCGAATGTCAGCCACCTGTAACTGCCAAAGGGTATATTTCTCATAAGGAAATGGAAGCCGATGTTCCAGAAAGAGTAAGTATATCTTGCTGCGTGCTTGACACAAGTTTAACGATCCGTCGGTATTATGGCTGCTATTTTGAGACTAACACGCGGTTGCTTTGCATTTCCAAAAAGGAGAAGGTGATACTGGTCTTGATGATTTACTGTAGTACTTCCCACGAGTGAAGCGAGAGATGGAGATAGAGAGAGAGAAATGGGGTTTAACGTCCAGTCGACACAAACTAGGTCATTTCGGGACTGACATACGGTATATATTTTTTATTTCAATAATTCGCTTGCACGTAGGGGGCGAGAGATGGGGTTTAACGCCCACTTGACACAAACTAGGTCATTTCGAAACTAACATATGGTTCAATTGTATTTCAATAATTCGCTTGCACGTAGGGGTCTTTAACAATGGGAGGAAACCGGAGAAACATGTCCCGGACAAACGGCGAATCGAAATCATGTCCTCTTGATTCAATGACAGACCTTATGAACCAACGCGAACGCGTTTCCCATACGGCTACCCAAACCCCCTTCCCATGATTAGATTCCAATACAAGGCATAATTACTGTGTGGTCCCAAAAGGATCTTTTGTGTTTTCCCTGACATGGGGTGAAGCGCTGCGCTGCACGGGTAAAATGTCACTGGCACTTCATACGGAGTCATAGTAAACAGATACTGTTATGTTTGTTTTAAAAGTTCACAGGTAAAATCTTTTCTTTTTTTTTGGGGGGGGGGGGGGGTAATAATTGTTTGTTTTTAACTTATGATTTAGCATATAGGGGTATTTATTTTTAATTACAACTTGGTCGCATATAAAGTGTTGTTGTCTTCCAAGTTCAAATAATCACAAGTATGCCCTGTGTAGATTTATTGTGTTAAAATGTCGAGAATAGCGAAAATTTATTAAAAACTCAATTCAAACCTTTATTTAATCGACAGTGAGGAGATTTTAAAGTATATTACATTTACAAGCCCAGACACGTTCTTTTTCTGGAAATACCCTTTCCTTAAATAGACCATGTAACCTACCAACTTTTACCAACTGATGATTGACATATTAAGCGACCAATCCGGTATCGGAATTAAAGCAACCCGCTCTCTCTCTCAAACCAGGCTTTATATCAGCTTTTTAACCAGTTTATTGGGTTTTGTAACATAAGAGGCGGGGCTATCATATAGCGCAGAAGACTCGCGTGCGACTTCTATATGGATTACGTCAGATATGACAGTGTAGACAGTGTATAAGATATTATAATGGATATATTTCCCCCTCAGTGTTTAGATTAAATTGCTCAATGACACGATCCTATTGATATTAACAGTGTCGGAAGGATCAATCTACGCGAGATATAAATTTAACACAGTTTATTAAGTAAGTATATAATCTATAATTCGATTCTTTTACTTTCAAGATTGCCTAAATTTGCACGACTGCTTTTTTACAGCTTAATTAATGAGGCGTTATTCCATTTAAGGATGAAACAATATTGTAGGTTATGCACATTGGCGTATCGGAATGCAAGACTATTTTCGTGCGGCTTCCTTTCTGTAATTTAAACGTGTTCTAAAGACCCCTGTTTCTTGCAAGGCTGATGTAACAATCGGTGGAAATCTTTATCGTGAATGCGACATTTCCGTAAATCTTAGATACAGAAGAGTCTAGAACAGAATGTTTTGAACCGATTACCAAATGATAAAGCGTGATCAGCTACTATATAATAGATGCGAATATGTAGGTTAAATGCCAGGTCACTGCTACTTTACAATTCGTATATATGACGTGTTATTATAACGTTGATTAATCTGTAACAACCGGTTTCAACTTTTTATTAAATCGAGTTAATTAATTATTATGCAGAAAATGGGGCTTAAGGGCTTACTTCTCTGTACCAAGCGGGAGATTGAAGACGGCCACGCAGGGTGCTGTGTGGGACATATTTGCCCGAGAAGCAATTGAATTAAAACACTGAAGGATTTTTTACGTGCACACCTATTTAAACCTATGCTTATAAACCATAATTTAAGTATCTGAAATAGGCACTCCTAGCAATATCTTCTTGCATCACAAATTTTGTCTAACTAGGACCGCGACGTATGTATGTGGTTAGAGCACTAGAAATTAGTCAGGGGTCAAGGGCGGCGTTTGTGGGCTGGAATGGAAAGTGTCTAGTCGTTCGGATGGGACAAAAACTAGGTCCCATATGTACGTAAAAGATCCGTATCCGAACAGCGGCGCTACGACCTACACTTACATCGAATTCCAATTGCCAAAGGTTCTTTTACGTGCACGCAAATGTTATTGTTGGTTTTTGACGGTCTAACTCATAACGTCAACTAGAGACTATCGCCACCAAGAAACGCTATTCAGGTGACTTCTTTCAAGACTGGGCGCATTATTTCTATCGTGTCTTTCTTGCAAATCATTGTTTTTTTCTTCATGAGAGTGACTGATGCCTGTATCCTTACAAGCTGGGATTCCACAACGCAGTGGACGATTCAGTGCTGACCTCTTGATCCATTCACTTGATTGGATATTTGTGGCTTATTGCTTGCAGTGTCTATGTAGTTTGTGTCTTATACGGAGGTTTGGTTTATTTGGGTTGTTTGTGTAGTGTTGTCCTCCTGCACTTGCTATTAAAAACTAGTAACTTCATATCCACATGTAGATAACGTGAAAAACAGCGGACGACAGACATATCAAATCAAAGTACACCAAGAACTATTTTTCATTGATTTTGGCTAATAAATCTGTTTCCAACTGCATCGACGCATTTATAGCCAAGATTATACTACAGTGTGGGAACCGTGGTGGCTCAGTGAGCATAGTGCTGACACTATTGTGGATTCGATTCGTGTAAGTAAGTTAATTGCATAAAAAAATGAGAAAGTTCCTCTGGATTTCCCAGCTTGCTTTTTTCTTGTCAATGGCGCATAGGACGGAACAAAAGCGTCTAGTCCTTCGGGTGGTACGAAATACCGGGTCTACCTGTGTACCAATTTGTGTGCACGTAAAATAACCATTGACAGTTGGAATTCGATGAAGAGCAGACAGAAACTCCGACGTCCAGGCAAAATGCCTCTTCTAGCATCATTATCCCCGTCGGTGCAGATCAGCTGTAGTGCGTTAAACCACAGAAGGCTGTCATTTGCCTCGAAGCTCCCAAGATAATATTATTATCAAAAAAAAATCATTATTGAAATTCAAATACCGTTACTATATCTTATAAGGTTGAAATGATCCGTGAATATGACACACCTTATAGTGTCAAGATATATTTTGATGTAGGCAATATACACTTCTTCTAGATTACAATGCTGATATGTATACTTTCTTTTATTTGGTACAATACAATACCCAGGAGACTTGGTGATAATAAGTAAAGAAGAAAAATAGATAAAATACAGTCGCTGATTGTCAATTGTATTTAGCGGACCAGAATCTAATTTTTCACTGCTTGATTCACGCTAAAGAAGTTGTACTCAAGCTGATTATCTAAACACAAATAATCTCCCGATATGAATTCAATCGGATTAAAAACAGGTCCATCACAAATAGGTGGTGCTGACTTTATCATTATAGTCTGCTGACGATGCCGAATGTTGCGCAATTTTCAATTCATGATATGTTTGTAAATTGAAATTATTGTGGACCGATATTCCTTTTAGAGATTCAACTTTGACAATATTGCAGTTCTCAAGGTATTAAAGAAAAAAAACTGGGTTCCTGAAAAGCATGCTAAAGGAAAGTTACGTAAAAGCATTGAGAAAAAATCAACCGACCGGATAAATCGATTCTTTACTGTTCTAAAATTTAGGGATAAGCAAATAGATAGGTAGCCGGGCCAATCCTAGTACTGAGTCAATGTATAGTGAGAACTGCCTTCTTGTAACGAACAACAGGTGTTTAACTGCTCAACAGAAATATTTGAGAACGACTGACCTGTGACTGATTTTCACAATATTTATTTGTCTCGGCTATGCGGATATCTTAAAAATGAAGTATAAATCCATTTTTGTTAGAGGTTTTATTTTTCATAACGGGGTGTTTAGACATGGCGTAATTCAATACCACATTTAAAAGAAAGTTATTTGCCTCTTTAGGCTTCTGTTGGCTTTCATCATTATTTGTTTTGAGATAAATAAAAAATGAATCATCGTTCATTTGATTTGTAATCGCTAAGCTAGAACTACCTCGGCCAACATTTAATGAATGACTTCTCTAGCAGCGTTATAAGTATGCACTTATTAGTCTGTTGTCTCGAATCGATCTAACCAGCCAGTTCAAACACACACGCATTACAAAAAACCCCACATACTCCCAATCCAAGGTTAAATAAGTGTGGAAGAAACCCACTGATGCATGCTGTGTGAATTAGTACCGATATTAAAGTTGCCGGTCCCGAATCAGATTTTTTTTTTTTTTTTTTTGTGAAACTCTGTCTAACCTTTCATGGGTTAATCCACGCTTAAATCTACGCATATTCATTATTTAATTTTTTTAATTTTTAAAAAACTGTACTTTATTCAATAAGAATAAAATCGGGGACCTTGCTAGGTTTATACCACCCCATACCCATTCGTTTGATTAGAGCTAATCCCACTTAACACTGCTGTAAAGGAAGCAAATTTCTGTTCCAAATCTATGACTGGTCAATAGTCCGATTAACAACCAATAGCTAACTGCGTAACGATGTCATTACGCTTTAAACAGAGCTCCAAATTGGACCAATTTACATAACGTTACGTCATGACTCACGATTTTATTATTCCCAATTAACCAGTGCGTAGCAGAATATTGCAGAAAAACTAATTGCGTGACAAACGAGGATATAAATACGGATACAATGTAAACAAACTTCAACCGTTTAAATACCTTAAATCACCGTCCAAAGTTTTAAGGAATACACCAGATTAAACGAAGGGCTGTCATGTCGCTGTACTTTGGATAGATTTGATTGAACGGGAAGAATAGACATACTCCCTCAAAAGCTCAAGTATCAGAAGCCAATCCAGCAATGGCCAGAGAGGGATTTCTCGGTCCATTGCTTCAGGTAGTAGTGGCGGCGCCAGGGGGGGGGGGGAGGGGGGCACGATTCCGGAGTATTAATAACAAATAAATATCGGCTACCACAGCAAGCTTACGTTTTAGACCATTTTGTAAAAGTCACGTGGTCGACGTAATTTACTCGCAGAGTGGCGTACGCTTTTGAGACGATCGCTACGTGTTCCCCCTCGTGATCGGTCGTAAAAAATCGCCGCGATCAGGCGAAAACATACGCTCGTCTGCCCATAGTTTAAGACTTCGATATGTATGGTAATCAAGTCATGTGACATGCATGGACGCTTAAAATAGACATTACAGCTTGAGATTTAAATTTTTTTAGGAATGAAATGAAATGGGGTTTAACGTCCTACTGTTCTGCTCCTATACCGGGCTAATGAAGACGGGCATACGCCATACAGTGTGCTATGAGGGAAATTTTGCCCGGGCAGCGGCACTATCGCCTACTCTTATATCGAATTCCAACTGCCAAGGGATCTTTTACGTGCATTCCGAAGGACTAGACAGCTGTCCTTGTCAGGCCCCCGGTCTGCACCACTGACATGGGGAAACCAGGTCGGAAAATAAATTTTTTGAGAGGGATTAGAAGCAAACTTCTGATAAATAAACTAAATCATCAAATCACACAGTTTGTACGTGGGAAGGCCTTTACATTAAATCAGTGGAAATTTTGAGATATATGTGAACGATCTTTCCCTGTTACGTCTTCATTCAATAACTGTTTTTTGAAAGTTTTTTTTTACCAAAATTTAGATTTAAAACCCACCAAATCTTTATTCAATAGTTATAAATTTTAACATAATTTCTTATTATCGTTTCAGATACAAATCAGATAGTTTAAAATGGACGATTTCTTCAAAAACGTAACAGATTGTCCGACATCAACAACACTAACAGATTTTGACGACAATGGTGACCCAGGTACACCATTAAAGGCACCAGCAACTTTGGGTAGTCCTTTCAGTAACAATGATTTTATGGCCAATATTGGCGATTTACGGCTTTACCAGGCAGCCATTAAGGCAAATAAAGAGAAATGTATTACTCCCCTGGTAAAGGAAGAACTAAGAATATTTATTGAACATAAAAGATGTGGTGAAGGAAAAGATATGCTCCATGTTGATTTTAATAAACCGAAACATCATCAAGTAAGTTCTAGCTTAGAACGGCACCCAATATGCTAGTCACTGTCTAAAATATTGACTCGGAGACTAAAAAAAAAACATTTTTGGGATATTAGACATCAAATCAAGCCACTATTGAAACAACTCTTACTGTCTGAATTGGGTTCACCTGCTTAAAACGAATGATGATTGCTCTGTAATGTTTGAAAACAGCTTCATTCTTGATTGGGTTATTTTGACTACAGCTTATGAATGGGGGGTAAATAGGTTCTGTTTATTAGGATACAGACCACTAAATATTCTCTGACTGACTGGTTTAAAATTCTCGTCTCTTTGCCCGGCTGCAACTTTCCCCCCAAGTTTTCGCTGGGCTCAACGCTCTCCATCACAAACGGTACAAAGTCTGGAAATGTCTTGCTCCAATTGGTAACTTGTTAAAATAGAACACTTGCCAATCAAACCCAAATCAAGTAAGATAAATCACTTCAAGAACTTTGCAAAAGCGACAAAATCAATTAACAATCAAACAACTCGTGAAGTCAGTTAATATTATTTTCATTCTAGCTTACACCCGACGAAATAACAAAGAGAGAAAGACGAAAAGAACAGAACAGAAGAGCGGCATTAAGATGTAGAATGAAGAAAAAAGATGCTAAAAAGAAAAATGAGGAGGTTTGTTACCTAAAGCGAATTCTAGAACACCTGGTGCCACTTTTCATGAGTTGTAACTAAACCACTTGGTTGGAGACTCTGTTGGTTGTCTTTGGCCACGGGGCTAACTTCAACCCAGTTGCCTCGAATTTCTGGAATCCATGACCAAACCCATTCCCAATACATATTGACAGGTGTCGTGCACGCGTCATCACGTGTGCTATTTGATAATGTCTTGTATTCATATAGATGTTTTTGTTTCAGGAATTTACGAGGTTACGTCGTGAAAATAAAGATTTAGATGGCGAGGTACAGAAAATTTCACAGGACATTCTTGACCTAAAAAGAGTTTTAAAGTGTCATATATCATCAGGAGATTGTCATATTAGTGGAATAACTGAGGACATACGGACAGATGACTGTCAATTCCCTACTAGTATTTCTGAAAGGCAATTAGAGCGGCCAGATCCATGTACCACTGTGAACAATGCACTGCACGATGATGAAAACCATTTCTTCGATTTAGAATTTCTACCAGACGATTTTTTACAATGAGTTTTAATATTGGGTTCTTTGTTGTTTTTTTTTTGTTTTTTTTTTTGACAATAATATTAAGAGCACAAGACAGATTGTTCACATTACATCTAAACAGTAAAAACTGTGTTGTTATTATATAATTGAATGCATCCGGTAAAAATGTATTGGCTTATTATTACTTTAATTGTCTAGGACTTATAATAATGGCGATGTGAAATCAATTGAATCCATCAGCTACTATTGATCAAATTTTAATAATTTTCAGTAATTGTTTTAATTAAAAGTACATTAATTGTGTATAGTCTTCATATTTAACATTTCTCTGGTATGTTGGAGCTATAAATCATGTATAAAAAAACATTTAGTATATCAAGTGTTGTCTTGTATGATAACACTACATGTTCTATCAACCTGTGCGGGAGCGGATCGGGGGGGGGGGGGGGTAGCTACATTTTTTTTTTGTAAAACAACACTTTTTTTTATGAGAAAAGTGTAACGGTCGCGTGCTTTATACTTTATCACTAGATGGTGGCATGGGATGGACATTCAAAATGCGAAATAATGATATAGACATGTGTGATATCACAATTAATGCTTTGCATCAATAATGAAATTGAACCACAATGTGATCCTATAAATTCATTAGAAAAATTGACGTGAAACGGGGTGGCGTTTTGGGGGTTTCTCTCTTTCAAAATCGCAGTGTGTATGTATGCCTACGTAATTTAGAGACGATGGTGGCAGCATGCATTGTCAATTGTCAAATTTTCTTAACAGGAACCTAGCGAACCCCCTCCTTCCAAAAAAAATCAAAGATCCGCCCCTGCTGTGGGTTATTAACTCACTAACCAGGAGGTCAAGGTTTCGACCCCGGTGTTGCTCGAAAAAGTTCCTTGGGTTTTCCAGCATGGACTCTGATAGGTGCAGAAAAAAGTAGGAAGTTGAACTCCATTTCATTTCCAGGAACTTGTAAATGTGGACAACTGGAAACAGGTAACGTAATTCTATTTTAAGCGTTAAAGCCTGGCGCAATCCATCGGCTGTGTTTGGTCTCGGTACGACGTTATTAAGTCTCCTCTGAAATTCATCCCAAAGATGTTCAATCGGGTTTAAGTCCGGACTAAAGGCTGGCCAGTGCATAACGTTGAAACCGTTCTGCCGTAGAAAGCCCCGAGTTACTCTGGCGGTGTGGGCACGGGGGTTGTCATGCTGGAAAACGTTGTTTCGATGACGTGCGAAATGTGGTATGACGTGGGGTCTGAGAGCTTGATCGATGTAGCGCACTGCTGTGATGCCACCTCCTCTCCCTGGACCAAGATTTTGGAACACCACGGGACCCACTCTCTGGTTCAGGCCGATTCCACCCCAAACCATTATGCTTGGACCTCCCCATGAGTCTCGTTTCATGACACATTGGTCAGAATAACACTGGCCACGTCGACGCCATATTCTGGCCCTGCCATCTGCAGTTGATACGCAATACCAACTCTCATCTGTGAACAGAACAGTTCTCCATTGCCTGTGTCGCCAGTTCTGGTGTTGTTGGGTAAACTGTAGATGTTCACGTCGATGGCGAGGGATGAGGATCGGTCACGGTAAGGTCTACGGCACTGGATGTTCTCTCTGGTGAGACGTCGGCGCACTGTATCGGCACTGATGGGTCTTCCGTGTGTTCCCACTGTCTGACATGCTGTCTCGGGTACCTGTGTGACGGGATTCTGCACGTGCTGTCGCACAACATAGCGGTCTTGTCGCCTTGCGGTAACCCTTGGTCTACCATTTCGGGGGCGATCATCCGTGGTATTGGTGGCCCGAAAGCGTTACTGAAGCCTGTAGATGGACAGAACATTGACCTGGAAGTGATTGGCAACGGCTTTGGCAGTGTGGCCAGCGTCGAGTCTTCCAAGCGCCTGGTTCCTCTAAGCTGTCGTGGGTCGTGGCATGCTGCTGACGTTGTAGTGTGAATGATTCAACCAGGTATGGGGGTGCATTTTCTAGGGCTGGTCCCGGTGAACAACACGTGCAGCATGAGTTACATGAAAATCATGGAGAACACATTACCATCTCAGTAGTCAGGTTGCGTTTTTGAGAACACTTCCTGGGTTCAATTCTGTGTTTGGGAAGGGGCCTTATTGCTCAGGTAAAGTTGGAGATGTGGTCACAAATATACAATAAAAACATTTGGCAAGTTTTATGCAATGCGTCTATTCAGAGCAACATACCAACCTGACGTTTCTTTTGCTGCTTAGTATATAATATTAAAGCCGCTGGTGGTCATTTACATTTTTTGGACCATCACGGATTAATTCGTTCCAACATACACTCAAATTGATTATTTAGCATTTAATAAAGAAAACAAAATGAAAACATTAACGGTGGATAACCTTATGACTTGTACAGGTCATATCTCGTTTATATCGTTTTCATTATAGCATACATAATGTTGACAGATTTTCAATTCATCATCTTAACATTCAGCGGAACGGAACCATGTTTGAACTTATATTCTGTTTACAGATTAAACTTCTACAATCGATTAAAACACGGTTGAATGATAACCACAAGAACAAATGCAAAAACATATAGAAATATATATCTCACTACAATATTCCCTGTATATTGAAATGCAATACAATAGTATCTTATTGGACCTGTCTCCTGCTTTTTGACACCGTTCACCACCGCATTCCGCTAAAACATACTGGAATCTCATTTTGTTAAATCTGAAGATGTTCTTCCACTAATTCGATCATACTTGACAATCTGAATACAAATAGATTAGTGTATACGAACGCTTCTGTATGGTGGCTGATTAGTATCATGTCGTGATGTCGTGGTGTCGCCCTTCATAAGGCGACAACCCGACATCACGACATTTTAACCCGACACCACGACAACCCGACATCACGACATTTTTTACCCGACAATACAACATTTTCACCCGACACCACATCAAAAATGTTGTCCGGTTGTCGTGGTGTCGTGGTGTCGGGTTGTTGTAGTATCGTGATGTCGGGTTGTGGTGTCGGGTTATCGGCCATATTCGTCTAAATACTATGATTATATACACTTATCCTGGTGTTGGTCAAGAAAGTTCCCCGGGATTTTGCAGCGTGGTTTCTCCATGTCGGTAGTGCAGAACAAAGGGCCTGACAAAGTACAGTGTCTAGTTGTGTAGATGGGACAAAAAACAAGCTCCAGTGGACACATTGACGTGCACATAAAATAATACTTCACAGTTCGAATTTCTCTTGGCTTATTGTTTGCCACTACCTAGGCATATGCAGTGTGGAGCCACGGTGGCTAATTAATGGGTAAGACGCCGGCTCGCTAGTCTGGGGGTCGTGTGTTCGATCCCTGTGCATTGGCCGAGAAAGTTCATCAGGATTTTCCCCTTGACAGTGGTGGAAGGCTGAGGCCTGACTAGGACAGCTATATAGTCATCCCCCTGAGGTGTAGGCCGTAATAAGAATATGCCCTTCGTATAAGGCGATTAAAAGGATCCCTATAATGGGGCAACGTGTTTGCCGTGCGTTGCGACCCATGTCGGTGGAGAGTGGAATCCTGGTCATTGAGTAGGGATTCTGCTTGCCAGCCCTGTCTCTGCAACATATTTCTTCGGCCCACAATTCACATAGACGTGAGGTCAGAGAGGCCCTGATCAGTCAGCTTTGGTCGTGTTTAGTTGACGAGTAGGCGCATCTTTTCCATTATTCTGTAATATATTTGTTGCAGTTCTACGTGTGTGTCCTAGGTGCCTACTCTAAAACAGCGGCTTGTGTCAACTAGGTGGAGTAAAATATTAAACCTTTACTTTGTCTAGGTATATCCTTGTCTGTCCTGCATGGATATTGCAACCCTTTGGTGGCTGGGGAGCAGACAGAGATGAATCTTTTAAAATACACTCATGGCTTCCCAAACAAAGAAGACTCGTGCTACAAAACGTATATCGACCGAGGATTTGGAATCAAGTAATATACCAAATAAAACTTCCCGAACCTGGCCTAGTTTTCTGGTCATACAGAGTACCAACGAAATAAATCTTAGCAAAACATCTCCTTTTTTGATTGCTAAAGGTTTTGCTGGCTTAGCTGGTGAGCCCAAAAGCGTCAAAAAAATCAGAAATGGCACTCTGTTAGTGGAATGTGCTAAAGAGTCACATGCTACTTCATTATTGAAATAAACAACTTTAGCCAACATTCTGAACAAAGTTGCACCGCAAAACTCTCTTAATTTGTAAAGAGGTGTTATTCAGTCTCAGGATTTAGAAGGCAGCTGTGAAGAAGATATGCTTGAAAATCTCGTCTCACAAGCTGTTACATAGTTACGTCAAACGTATTTCCATCAGACGTAATGGTAATATTATCCAAACCAACACCTATCCTGACCTTTGATAAACCAGATCTTCCTAATTCAAAAACGTAATTGAATTTCTGCTCACTAATAATTCCTTCGAAGACCAAAAGTTGTTGTGTGAGACTGTGAGAGGATATCTGACAATTCAATAAAGAATTGACTGTCACTAGATAAGAGGGCACGAAAGAAAAATAGAATAAGTCCGTGCATTACCATGTTTTTATAAGGTATAGAATGAATAAAAACTTGTGAATGAACGGTTTATTTCTATTTTTCTCGTGTTCTCCTATACGTACTTATCTCATGACAGTCAATTACTTTTTTGAATTGTCAGATATCCTATTACAGTCTCATATAACTACTTTTGATCTTCGAAGGAATTATTAGTGAGCAGAAATTCGCCCAGGTATCTGTTATCACTCGTCACTTCAGTCAGTTATATAGAGGGATAACTCGTGTTTTCCTTTTGCGTTCGTCACTTCCGATTATTGAAGCCGGCATTACGCATCTATCGTAGCAATGATCTCTGTGTTAAAATTATATTTGGAACGTGTTTAACAAGTTCTATCCCATATGTGATAATGACTGGCACCAATATTGTCTTTTAAAATCATAATCGTTATTTCCTTATCTTAGAATCCGCTAAATGTATTTGTATGCGTTCATGTGCAATACGAAATGACTTTTGCCAGGGACGTGAAATTTAGGATTTATATAGGAAATCTCAGCTGCTAATTAATACCGCATCAAGTAAATTTTGTCCATGTAGCTAGTAGCTGATTCGTCCAAAAACTGTATGAATAAAGCGACACTTTGTGAATAGGTCTATATTTGACTCCCCAAACCCTGTCTTTTCGCAAAAATCGAAATACTCAAGATAATATCTATTTTCAAAGCCTAATCTAGCATTTTTATAGCGGCGACCCATGACACAGTCTGAGTCTATGCATGGCCTGCGATTTATTAGGACCATGCTCCCATAGGGCAGTCAATATTTTAACTAGACGATTTGCGCCACCGTTGATTTAGATATTACTTACCAGCTTCCCTTTTCCCGTATCACATAACATTTTCTGCAAGTGCAATCCGAAAATGGAGATACCCCGTCTAATTCATATGCCCTTTCTTGTCCCAAATATGTCTTATCCCATTGAAGAAATTAAACATGGACTAATTATAAATTGCAGTGTATCTTATATCTAGATGCTCATGCCCTGACATTATTATACTTCCTTGTAATCGGAATGACGATACTGCACTATCAAAGATCATCGATTTCAACAGGTGGGTTGTATGCGATACAATCTATTTCGTTTAGTTTTTATAGTTCAAAATTTCGTTTTACTTGTCTTTACTCAATCTAATTAAAATATAGACCTATATTTTGTTTCGTTTTTTATACTTTCGATGGTAAAGACTACAGGGCCTAAAATAAGTTTAAATTATCGTAGCACGAATTCTGCGTCCTTGGAGAGTCGAAGGTCGACTTGGGTGGCGGAGGGAGGGGGCACCCCCTTCAAATTTGGAATATTCAGAGCTGAAAAACAGCATCTGTGGACTATTCGGGCGCAGATTACCAAGCCTACTGGAAAACCTGACTAGTGGGGCTGAGCTAATGCGGCTGTCGCTCACTCGACAGCTGATCTGATCTGATCTGTACAAGTTAACTGACCACCACAAGAGGAAACACTCATTAAGGGTCAGGAGGCATCGCTACCTTACACTTTTTCAGAGCACTACACCATTGTTTTCAGAGCACGTTTTTCTTATTTTCGAAGCACGGATTTTTCATTTCGAAGCACGTTTGTGCTCCAAAGCACGTTATTTTAGGCCGTGAAAGACTAGACTGGATAACCTGCTCTAATACGTCAGACTCGCTCCTACGTCACTCCTTTTCTGACTTGCATAATAAAATATATTAGTCAGAATAGCGCAGTGACGTAGGAACCAGCCCGACGTCATTTAGAGCAGGTTGTCCAGTCTATGGTAAAGACAAGTAAAAACGAAATTTTGAACTATAAAAAACGAAACGAAATTGGATCTGTGTTTTAATCAGATTGGTCTTTGGTCTTTACTACACTAGGATCTGGAAGAGTTGTTATTTAACTCGTGTTCTGAATGGTGTCAGGGATAAGGCAATGAAACGGTTACGACAAGCTTTAGGCGTGTTTTGCACGGAACTGTGGGTAATCCACTAGTAACATAAATGCTGATTCGTTAATCAATTGTCTGATGCCATAGGGTCAAACGTCGGTCTTTTGACCCCTGACGTGACCTGAAATGAAATGAAATGAAATGGAGTTTAACGTCCTACTGTTTTGCTCCGAACTGGGCTAATGAAGACGGGCATACGCCATACAGTGTGCTATGAGGGAAATTTTGCCGGGACAGCGGCACTATGGCCTACTCTTATATCGAATTCCAAATCCCAAGGGATCTTTTATGTGCACGCCAATGTGTACACGGGACCTCAGGTTTTCCATCCCATCCGAACGACTAGGCAGCTTTCCTTGTCAGTCCCTCCGTCCTGCATCACTGACAAGGGAGAACCACTCCGGAAAATCTGGATGAACTTTCTCGGCTAATGCAGGGATCGAACACCCGACCTCCAGGCTAGCGAGCCAGCGTCTTACCCACTTAGCTGTCGCTATAACTTGTCAGATCTGCATGTAGTGTAGGCCATCGAAAGTATAAAAAAACGAAACGAAATATAGATCTGTATTTTAATCAGATTGTATGCGATACCACCCTAGACTCAAGCGAACGTTAATGACTATTATACTACTACCAGTAGTATAGGCTGATAACAAATAACATTGCATGAGGAAACTAAAATACTGTGGATAGAAGAACAAAACTCTTGCTTACTTTTTTAAATTCAAACAGGTTTATTTTCTTGAAGTGTTTATTACATACACACTAGAGTCACAGATAAAATATTTTTTCTCAAACAGACATATTTATATATTCCTAAATCAAGTAACTTCATATAAAAAAAACACTCAGTTCTTACTACGAGAATCCAACACTGTAAACTAAGGTAGATAATCACAATATTAATCAATAATAATTAGGTCAAAACAATTAAAAGTTTAACAAAAATCAACATTAGTTCATAAATAATAACATTATCAAAGCCTGTGATATAAAATACTTAAAAAAAATCATGTTTACTATTTGAGTGCCCTTACGAACAGTTATTTATAGCACCCAATTCATGTTATGATAATAGAAATATAGTCTCTATCTCCCAGTCTGAAATTAAAAGCCTGAATGCGTGACTTCAAATTACAATGATGGCCTGTTGTTTCTTTTGGTCTATAAAAGGCATATAAAATACATAGGATATTATTGATGATTGAATACTATACATTTGGCTATATGCTTAAATTCTAAATGACTGACCATGGATGTGGTCATTTGTCTATGATAATTCTTACCTAAAATGTTTTTCATATAAAATAAAATAATACAATACAAATGAAATTAATGATTTTGTCCATGATTTTCAGCTTTACTTCAGCTTCAGCACAATATTAGTTTTATGACTTTAAATGTCATATTGCATAATTCTTTATTATATTAAAATTTAAATAATATATTATAACTAGTTTTAGGATTAAGCAAAATAATTATGAAATGAATATGCCAATATATATATATATGAAACATCACATCACTCAATGCACACCAAGTTCCTTTGATATTTTTTTTCAGATCTGGAATTAAATTAAGAACCCTGAACCAAAACATGAATCTGTTTCTAATCTTAATACCTGAAAATTTGAGAAGTTAAAAAAATTAATTAACTATTTGAATTTGCACAACAAATAGTAGCAGCCAAAAACACCTTGGACAATTACCAAAGGATTTTTTGTTTCAAAAACATCTTCGATCACCACATCTACTCATAAATATTTTAAAACAATAACATAAATACACATTAAAATATGAAGAATTAATAATAATATGATTAAATATATGTGTTACAAAAAAAAAAATGAAAGTAAAAAGAACACTTCTTTAGTACAATGTGTGATTGACATAGGGAGGTTAACATAATATAAAAACCATTAATAAATTTTATATTAGAATGGTGTGCACTCAACATATTCCCACAGTTATTCTTACTATATTATAGTTAAGACAAACATTAATTAAAATTCATATTTTATGTATTGATGATTTATCAATTATATCAAACAACAAAATGACAAAATTTCTTTCTACACATCCTAACAAAATTATTTTTAAATTACGCATCCAATTTAGCTAGTTCACTTGTGTAGATGTTGATACTTTCTGTGTCGTACAAAACAAAGTAAACTTGTTTAAGAGAACTAGTGGTGACTTTAGTAAAGTATGCATTAATGGCCTGTAGAATTAATTGTGCTGCAGCCTGTTTGGGAAATCCTCCATGCCCACTTCCTATTGAAGGTATGGCCACTGTTTTAAGATTCTTCTCATCAGCAAGCGCAAAAACATTATTAACAGCTTTGGTTAATAATTCTGTGGAGTTACTGGTAGACCATGAAGGACTATTGACGTGAATAACAAACTTAGCTGGAAATTTCTTTCCAGGACAAATGGCTGCTCCAGCAGTATCTAAATCGCCATGAGTTGATCTTAGATTTTCGATTTCTTGACGGAATTCTTTACCACCGGCATTACTGAGGGCATTTCCTACTTCCCCACCCATATGATAATTTGAACTGGTCGGATGGACAATTGCATCTGCTGCCATTTTTACAATATCTCCTTTGACCACGGTTAATTTTTGTCCTAGAAAAAGTTTTTTCTCTGATAATGTAGTAAATCCACTTGCATCTGGGAGGGCATCTGTGGATTTTGATCCTGATGGTCCATTTAAAGTTGAGTTTACCAAAGGCTTAGCTTTTGATCTTACAGCTTTGAGTTTCGGTCTGAAATGCACTGGTGTCGGTATGCGTTTCTTAACTTTTCCAGCAATGACCGGCTTACTGGTACTGGCTTTCGGCCCATTAGTTATTTTGGGCTTTTTAATTGGTAATGCCGGTAAAGAGGGTGCTGGAGATCCCACTGGAGTGTTTGGAAATTTTCCTCCTTTCTTGCGACCCAGCAGTTCTGGGTGAATCCTTGGCAAGACTCCCCCTGCTGGAATAGTGACATGTTTTAATAGTGTGTGTAGCTCTTCATCATTAGCAATGGCTAGTAAGATATGCCTAGGTGTAACTCGTTGCTTTTTGTTATGCTGTGCTGCGTTACCGGCTAGTTCTAAAATTTCAGCAGTCAAGTATTCGATGACAGCAGCTGCATAAACCGGTGCTCCAGCACCAATACGGAAGTGGTGCGTGTCACGTTTAAGATACCTTAACATTCTCCCAACGGGAAACAATACTTCAGCACGCTGGGATCGCGTTTTTTGCCCCTTGAGCGGCCTCTTCTTAACTCCTCTCGCCGACATGTTTACAGTGTATGTCGTTATCTCGCTTCCTCGCTTAACGGTATTGATAATAAGGTCAGTTGCAAGCTACGACATGTCAAGAAAATCTAGGCCATGAAATAAACAATACGGACTGTTTAATGGACTATGAATAGCCTCATCAACATTAACGGTGCAATAATAGTAGACTACTGAATTATGTTTTCAAACCAAATTAAATAATGCATATGACTGAAAGCTTTAGACTATAGGTCTTTTATTTATTTATTTTTTTTGGGGGGGGGGGGGTCTTATTTTTATTTTTTTTTATTTTTTTACTTTTGAACGCAGATGCCCAGAAAAGTGACTTTACCTATAACGACAATCAGACTAGTCTTAGCTTAGGAAAGTAAATGAAATCAAAACGAAATGAAATTTGGTTTAAAGGCCTACTGTTCGGCATCGACTGAGCTAATGAAGACGGCCATGCTGTGTCCAATGATGGTACTTTTGCTCTGACACCGGCGCTACGGCCTATTCTTATTTCGAATTCAACTGTCAGTGGTTCTTTACGTGCACGCCATTGTGTGGGCCTACACGGAACCTGGGTCTTTCGTCCCACCCGAACTTAGGGACACCGTCGTCCTGCACCACTGACAAGGGATTGTTACGCCGGATAAATCCCGAGGCACTTCCGCGGCCAACACCAGGAGCGAACCCGAGACCTCCGGGTTAGCGAGCCAGCGTGTTAGTCACTAAGCCAACGTGGCTCCCAGCCTACGAAAGTATCTGTTTTTACGGGATATTGAATAATGAAACAAATGGTACTATTTACGTTTATTACGTGACCTTTCCAATATTTAAGTGAGTTATCCATTTTTGGACAGACACCGCCAATTCATTTACCAATTATTCTAACCACATTTATCATCAGATCTATTTGAAGATTTAAAAAGACAGTCGGTTAGCTGATACGCATATGTTTTGTTGTCTGGAAACTGGGTTTTAAGATGGCATGGGGGCTACTGCCACTTACCATGTTCAGAGCTTGGGGCGCTCGTGGGCCTTAATTTAGCCGTAGGAAAGCACAATGTTTTTACCCGGGCCATGGGCGGTGTCCATTTGTTGTCGCACTTTCGAAAATCCAATCATAATTATTGCCAAGATTTTAGTGTGGACATTTTATCTCAACAGACCCGTCAACATTAATTTAACGATACTATTCAACGAAAAATAATATCAAAACGGTGACCCACTCTACCGGCTGCTTTACAGAAACACTTCATTTTTTTCATCACGATTGCATGTATTGGAGATAATTAATGTATGTTTAGTATAAATTTTTGGCTACCTTGGTTACGCATTAACTAAATCCAAGAAGCACTTTTACTTTGCATGCAAAATATTTTAGGCTATTGAATGTGGTGGAAGAGATCATTTTTAAAGGTCATCAAGTGTTCACATGATCTTTTGTTCCTTAATGACCCCTAGGTATTCATCTATCCCAAAACGAATTATTACATCTCATAATCCAATTAATACGCTACAAAATCGTGTATGATTTGTTAATAAGTGATCAATAATAATAATAAAAAAGGGTCTGGCACTCTGTGTTATCTATACTTGGGGTGACGCTCTTCGAGAAAGCCTTATAAGGCTCCGTCAATTCAAGTTCATCCAACAACATGGTCAGTTCCTGTCCCATAGTACGATCGCGCTTGTTATTATTACATCTCATAATCCAATTAATACGCTACAAAATCGTGTATGATTTGTTAATAAGTGATCAATAATAATAATAAAAAAGGGTCTGGCACTCTGTGTTATCTATACTTGGGGTGACGCTCTTCGAAAAAGCCTTATAAGGCTCCGTCAATTCAAGTTCATCCAACAACATGGTCAGTTCCTGTCCCATAGTACGATCGCGCTTGTTATTTCACTTTTCTTGAATTTTGAGAAAGGGCATGGCCCTTCTTTTTTAAAAAAAAAAAAATATATATATATTTAATTCACTCTTAGCCAGGTGCGGAAAATCATCATCTACATTGTTGTCGTGGTTAAATGTCTCTAACATGAAATGATTTTTAAAACCGTATCCAGGGTTCTTTTTGAGTTTCGCCTCCCTAATATCTCTGCTGATTATATTCTCGATTTTCTACGATAAATGAAATAAAATAAAATGAAGACGGATAGAGACGGGGGGAGGGGGTCATTTGGCCTGGACAGCGGCGCAACGGCCTACTCCTATTTCGTGTACACGGGTCTTCGGGTTTTCGTTAAATCCGAAAGACTAGACACTGTCGTCCTTGCCAGACCGTCCATCCTGCACCAATTGATAAACCACGCTGGAGAAATTCCGGGTAACTTTCTCGACGAACACCGGGCACCAGCGCATTACTCACTGTGCCCTCGCGGCCCCTTGCCATGGTAATAAATGAGGCATCGATTGTTAGTCTTTCTATCTACAGTCTCCGTTAGTGTCGGCCATATTCACTTTTCGCGCAGAAATGGTGGGCATTGCCTAATCCACTCAATAGCTAAGCCATTCGATGATCTAGAGAGTTGATTATGGGTTTGTCGTGTGAATAAATGTTTAAATAATAATCTATATAATATTTGAAGCCAGAAAAAAAGAATGTAATAGGCAGATTTAGCCCTTGCATAAATAAACGAGACGCCTGATAAACTCTTCTTTAAAAATAGGACTAGAACTGCTGGGAAAAGAGATAGGAAAATTGATTGTATATGATAAAAAAATCGTTAAAGGTGTTTTTAAACAGTTTTATTGTCCTATATCAAATTTACACTGCTTCAATGGAAGCAACTGTGGGGTTTATGGGTCTCGCACACACAGATAACTGTCTACCTTGAGAATAGATCGCTGTACTGAATGGCCGTCTCATTGAACAATTAGTGTACTATTTTATTATACGATTTTAGCCCGTTTCATACACACACAAATAATAAATACACATTTTCAATTTAATTTCATATGAAAATATAAGCGATATAAATACTTCTCAAATCTACCCAATGTGTGTTTCGACTAATATCGTCGATTTAGGAATTAAAATGTCGGTTAACTGGCTTCGTGTCTGTTCTCAAATACAACTTATTGTAGACAGACATCGTAAGTTTCGTATAACATCTTGTAAAAAGTCAAGTTATATATCGTGTAAACGCCGCCTTAGGCAGCCTTTCTTCATCGGCTCATTTTTCCTAACAGCTTCCCGTGCCTTTGTTGTTAGCATTTCAAAAACTGTACGCTTGCAGCTTGTTCAAATCGACAATGGTAACATATTTAACTCATGGATTACTTACGAAGACAGACAATATTAGCTACGAGAACGTAGCTAAAAACGTTGAGATATTGAGAGATTAAGGTTTGTTATCTAAGATAATATGTATTCACCAAATTTATGCCGATCGAATGAATAAATGAAAGACGGGCTATAAGAGTAGGCGCAACGGCGAATTCCAACTGCCAAGGGATCTTTTACGTGCACGAACCCGGGACCCCCAAGCTAGCGAGCCAACGCCTTACCCACTTAGCCACGGTGGCTCCTCTGCCGATCGAAGCAAAGTGAGATTTTGTTAGGCTTGTTGATAAGTAACGAAAACAGTCTTTACATAATACTGTTTGGAGTAGCTATACGCTTACGAATAACCTACCCTCGTGTGATTGGACACCAAATAAAAGTTCTAGCTGTCTGACTGTTCTTTCCATATTGCTTTTATTGACAAAATTGTTCGATGGGTATCCCCCCATATGAATATGAATGTATGTAAAGTGATTTATATTCAATTTTTGAAAAATATTGCAATTTCTAATCAATTATGTTCCATGAAATACCTTCAAATCGAACGACAGTCGTTTATGCCTGCTTAGTGCATTCTACAGGTTTTTTAAATTATTATTTTGCCTTTACTAATTACTTCCACATTGCGTTGTAGGATACGTTTTGGGGTTTTCTTTGTTGTTTTTTTTGGTTGTTTTTTTTTTTTTTTGTTTTTTTTTTGTTCCTTACAAAATGGCACCTAAACCATGGGGTACACGACTCGTGTCTTAAATATTGGATATTAGGTTCCTATAGTTTCACAGCAAGATGACAGCATCAATATTGATTGAAATTGATCAATATTGAATTCTAATTCGTGTTTTTAATTCGAATATTATGGAAAATATTGAGTTAGACACTTAGTTCCTTTAATAGTTTATTTAGGAAGACTTTAATCTATGCGCAGTCGTTTTGAAATCAGGTAGTCAATCCGTCGTAAATAGGGAAGATAACTCATTCATAACATTTTTTTGCATTAAAAAAAAAGTTAGAGAAAGCGCAATAGTTAGCTGTTGATATATAAAAACTAATTGATAAATATTTTCGATACAGAAGAGATAACCATTTGAATGTGGATAAGTGCAATTTCCGTATTTTAGACCATAAAGGTATTTCAATCAATATTCGTATCTGAAATAAGTCTGGTTATTCGAGGTGACAAGCTCTTTTGACCAAGAAGAGAAAGTTCGGTGTATGGTAATTTTCATAATGGCAGACGATTTATCCGTCTTGCTTTCTTGGTTTGCAAACTATTCCAATTATTACTCGATATTGACAGTACTGATATGTTTTTCTACGATGGTTATATTTATTTTTAGGTAAGTCTATTCTCTAATTCCCAGAACTGCATACATCTGCCAATAATTACTGTCCAGTGACGTTCCTTTGAACAGAGACTATGACTATGTCCATGTGACATGTCCATAACTCTATGGACATGTCTAACTAACCCTTTCCCATGCCAGTACGTACTAGCAATTTCCTCATACCTTACCTTAGGCTATATTAGAAATTGCTTCAATCTTGCATGAATTAACGGAAAACTACGAAATCTTACCATTCAATAGCTACAATCAATACATTCATTGATGCTTTGCGCAAAACTAGCCTCAAAAGCTGAATAATTTTCAACACATATCATATCATTGACATTAATCGCCATAAATAATTTGTAGCTAAAACATTGCCTGGACCACAAACAGTTGAGTGTTAACCATTAAAATAGCCACCAAACAGATTCGCTTTACGTGGTGATATGTTTAACATTTTCAAATTAAAAGCTAGAGCTACTAGTAGTGTAGCCATTTGTTTTTTCAAAGTCATATAATTATGCGGTAAGGTTTCACTTTTAGTTTTATTTCAATATGGATTGGTTTATTATATGTTTTTGTACCAGTAACGTAATCAAATGATTACAACCTGATTAAAACACAGATCTTATTTCATTTCGTTTTTTATACTATTTATAGATCAAAATTTCATTTTACTTGTCTTTACTACACTAGGATCTGGAAGAGTTGTAATATTACCGATGTTTTGGTTGAAGTGAGGGATAAGCCAATGAAACGGTCTGTTACAGCGACTTCTTGGCATGCCATACACAGAACTGTGGGTAAACCACTAGAGCGACAACGCTGATTATTAATCAATGTCTGACGTCATAGGGTCAAAAGACTCAAAAGACGCTCGTACGACCCCCTGACACGACCTTCAAGTACAACTTGTCAGATCTTCATGTAGTGTAGGCCATCGAAAATGTATGAAAAAAACAAAATGAAACGAAATATAGATCTGTATTTTAATCAGATTGCAAAAGATTATACAACCTGCTCAAAGAAAGGACATAGAACCTTCCACTATTATGGCTAGAGTCAAAGACGAAAGTTATCAGTAGCGGAACCATTCTAACCTTTCAACAGTGATTCTTAATCCTTACAATAATTCTGACACACTTATTTGTGATGATATGCACCATGGGTAGTCATACGGATGGGACAAAATATGGAGGTGTGCTTGTTGGTGAACACATAAAAGAACCCTTGACAGTTGAAAGTAGCATCCTTTTTTTGGCTGATTAAAATCGACTACATGTCCATATGATTGATAAAACAATGAACTGGCCACCATTGTATCATAAATCAATCTACTTTCGGCTCAGTTCATGATTAAAGTAATTAACACATTTAACAGTAACTTTGACAAACCCATGAATATAATAGCTTTTTTTATAATCACAGAAATGAATATGGTGCTGATGCCCAGATCAAATGTGCCTTTGCCATAAATGGGGCGGGGTCATTTCCCATTGGTAAACCAATAGTTTGCTTTATTATCTGATCCCCATCCTCAAATATGGCATTGTCAATGAGAAAATGTTTAATATTTTGAAACTTTTCTTTATCAAAAACTACAGTCACAAATGTCAGCATTGCAACATTTTATAATCCATTTAGCATCTTCTGAGTAAAAGCTCCATTAAAAGCTTTATCCGCAAACCAATCTCAAAACAGTCTCAATCTAACTAGCTACACACACATTGTGCACATGATCTGTATATTTCCAAACTTTATAAAGATAGTGCGCTAAAAGTTCAAATTCTTATGTGTGGCAGTAGCAAAAGGGACATGGATTATCTGTGCTACCAAAACAAGCAAACATAAGCAGGATCCAGAAATAGACTCAAAGTGTTGTTCCAAAAAGCCCCTTGAATTTCTTGCAGAATTTGGAGGCCATATGAAAACATAACATCATTTCATTTTTCGAAATCATGCATAATATTACAAATAAACTTTTCTAGGAGTACAACTCAAAGTCTCATTTGTATGAATTAATTTTCTGAAAATTATGACTATGGTCTGCACTCATAGAAAAAATACTCTTTTAATAATTAGGAGCATAATTTGTGTCAAATTTGAGCGACTTTTTTTTCTTTCTTTCTGATTTCTCTGCATGATTTTGAAATCTTTGTTGTGTTCAAATAACCTGGAAGCTTAAAATTACCTTATTTTAAAGAACATTCAATTTTCTTTTGCCACAGATCTGGTGTTACCTAAAATTTTATTGCATATTATGTATGCCTATCAGTTTACATGTACTTACAAAACTGTCAAGGCTAAGGTTGATTTTTTGTCACTTAAAATAAATATTGTACATGTACGTGCCATAATGGAGTGTATACTGTATCTAGCAAAACCATAGCACCAGTATTTGAACTAGGTCAGGTTTATGATATCCAGATCAAGTTTTCACAATAATATTCATGAATTGTGGAGTACTTTGAGTGTAATAAACATCTTTCTTTTTTTCCAGACTAAATGCTGAACATATATTTCCTTCAAGAATCATGAATTTTCACAACTGTACCAAATTCCAAGAAATGACTAAAGTCAAGAATGTGTTTTATTGTCAGTTAAGTAAAAAACAACATTCTAGTATAAAAGGTAATTTTTCTAGATATTATAATTGGTTATAGAAATGCTTCATCAGACAATGTTTATAGATCAGATAATGTCTGTATCATAGCACACATTTTTCATGTTCAATACTGGTGAACTCCATTTGTTTACATCCAGATCTTGGACTTCTTAGTTGTTCCGATGGGAGGAAATTTCTAGGTCCTGTGTATATATCGGCGTGCATGTTAAAGAATCATTGACAGTTGGAATTCAAAATAAAAATGAGATTATTCTGTAGCACTGCTATCCGTGCAAAATTTCCCTCATTACACTTTGCATGGCGTATGCCCGTCTTCATTGGCCATGAAATGTTCTGTAACTCAGTAGTCAAAGAACCCTGTGCACAAGCAAAGTAAACATACATTATGCAAAAGCTAAATCTGCCTATTGCAGGTCTTTCTTTAGGCCTGAAATGTTTTCTAAATCATTAATTAGACATTAATTAACTTATCCAGGCCATAATCAACTCTCGATGGCAACAGCTTTCTCCAATATTTAATAGATTAGAACAGTTCAGCCATATTTTGAGTTAAGCTAAAAATGGAGGAGCGAGACATAGCTTCGAACAACCAGTAAGGTGGTTGAAATTATTGCACACGACTTGTCAAACCTTCAAAGGCTAATATCTTCGCTCACAGTAGAGTAATTTGAATGAAATTTTCAAATTATTCATTTTACATTATCTATTTTCGAACTATTATAGCAAGAATGGCTAGCTCTATATCTAAATCTTACATAATCTATCTTTAATGGAATAGAAAGATTTTATACTTTAGTCTTAAATGAACTGGTTAGTGTTCAGTTGTTTTTCTTACTCGACATCTTTGGAACACTGGCCATTGACAAGTATATTTGAAATATTTCCTCTTATTTTAGATGGAGTACATTTACAGATTTCTCAGGTTCTACCACTAACAATATATTTAGTATGGGGAGCATTTGTTAATACAGTTTATGAAGAATTTTTAAAAGATACTAAAACAATTAAAGAAGAAATAGAAAAATTAACTTTTATGGAGAAGAAATGTTGGAAAATAGAGAAAATAGAAAGGTACCAGATTATTGATACTTACCATGTGTTGATGAAAAAATACAACAGATATAATAACATCATAAGAAGGAAAGAGCGCTTTTTATCAAAATTCTTTCAAACTCATTTATTTGATATTTTCAGGTCCTCAAATTCTATTAATCCTGTTGTGGTTGATTTAGAGTGCCCAAGTGTTTTACATACTAATAATTATGGCGAACCATCTCGTCAGTATTATCCTCTAGTAGTAATAATGGTTCAAAGAGAAAATAATCTAACATCATTCCAACATGAGTATAATGTAGTAAGTTATGTTTGTCTCTATTATATTCAGTATTCTGAGGGGAATACTACTACTGTCAGTTGACAAATACAAAAACACAAAGTCTCTCACGTTTGCCAAGCAAGGAAATTATCTGACTGAGGAATCTGCCTGTCAGACAATTCTAAATAACTGGCAAGAGAGTGCAAGTTAATTTTATATGCTATACACCCCCTCTAAAATTCTGTACATTGTCATGACATCATCCTGTTTCAGTGTTTGTCCATCTGACTGTAGGTTCTTTTACTGATGATAATATCTGTTGACTGGACACACAGTTAACTAGTGAATGTATAATGTGTTCGTGACCAACACTCATTATTAATTATAGCACTCTTGACAATAGCAGTTATAAAACACTAATAAAAAGCGTCATATTAAACAAGTATATTTTCATGGACTCTAGATGTATCTTGTGAAAGAGATTTTGAAGTGTTAAATTTTATATTATGTAATTTTACTTTTTTAGAATGCCATGATGACTATAATCCATTTACAAGATTCACAAACAGCTTTACGATCATATATAATAGGGCAGTATGTTAAGCTGGATGGAAGACAAGTCTTTAGTTTACAGGTAAAATAAACTTCCCTTATTCCTCTTACAGCATTATCACTGACCAGCTTATTAACCATTTGCTATATGATTTATAAAATTTACACATACGGCTGAAATTAAGCAAATTAGAGATACAGTTGGTTTATTATCCACATTCTATTAAAATAATATTGTTCTGGTTTTATTTTTAAATTTTGAAAACTGAATACCTGTAGTGCTTTTGTTTTTACAGCCAATATTTGTGACCAGTTCAGATGAAGTAGGAGAACCAGGAACAGCAAATAATATACCAACAACAGATACCAGCAATAATTGTCAAGATACAGATATTTGTGTTGTTTGTCAAAATTTACCAGTGTCGCATGTTGTGTTACCATGTCGACATGCATGTGTGTGTTCAAACTGTTTTCAACGAATAGAAAAATGTCCGATGTGTAGAGGTTATTTAGATAGCTATTTTACACTTCATGAAACCAATATCCAGGCAGAAACAACAGATAATACTACAGATTCCCTCAGTAATAATTTTCAAACAAGATGGGAGATGTGGAACCAAAGATTAAATGAATTCCTTGGATATAGATAAAAACTCTGTAACTACAAACAAAAAAACCTTTGTGACTACACAAAAAACACCTCTATGACTATAAACAAAAAAATAGTTTGACTAGAAACAAAAAAAACAGTTTGACTAGAAACAAAAAAACAGTTTAACTAGAAACAAAAAAACAGTTTGACTAGAAACAAATAAACTCTGTGACTACAAACAACAACTCTGAATTATGAATATAGAAAGCTAATTATTAAAATATTGTGTAAAACTTAAAGTGGGTTATATAGACTGAAATCATGGAATGACAGCTGATTTCTTGCAATATTGTATTTTTAAAATGCCTATTGTAAAGAGTTTTACCCACAATGTTAAATTGGTTTAAGCTTAGGGAAATTTCTTAAAAATAATATTCTGTTATATGTGTTATTATATAGTCAGTTACGTGATATTTGATTTATATTTTATTGAAAATAGATTTAACTTATTATAGCAAATTTCATGACATTTATTTAACATGTTAATAAGCGTGCATTTTTAAAACATTAACTACCCCCTATTGTGTAATTAATTTGACGAAGTGACGAAGAACAATGTACCATGTTCTAAGAATAGGTTGGGGAAAATACCTCCAAGGTGTTATATTACGCCCTACACACAGTGAGTGGCAGTTGTCCATGACGTAATATAACGTCCTACACATGCGATCGATCGTGGGGGAATTCCCAAGGGATTCCTCCAAGTGACGAACTATGTTCTAAGAATAGGTTGGGGAAAATACCTCCAAGGCGTTATATTACGCTCTACACACAGTGAGTGGCAGTTGTCCAAGACGTATATAGCGACCAATGCACTTAACAGGTTAAAATTATTAGTTATGGAATATAGTTAAAAAAAAAAAAAATTGTACATGTATGCACAAATACAGTAATTTGCAAATGGTGAAAATATGATATTTAATTTGTTGATGATTGAATAATGTGGATTGTTATGTTCTAATTTAATTTATTTTTAGTGCCATGATTAATAATATATACCCATCTAACCGGTGATTTCTTGTTGATTTAATTAATTTATATTTTAAAAATATGGAAATACAATGTACATAGCTTGCCATTTGTATTTTTATATGCCCATATTTTAAAGGGTATATATAGTACCAGTTTTTGTTATCCACAATTATTCTTCAATTTGTTTTAAATATTTATGTATTTATGAAACCATTTTGATTTTCAGTGATTTCTGATGATTATTTCAAGATATATGTGTTTGTTACAAAATATTATTTTATCATTCAGTCTCTTTGAAATTTGTTAAGGTTACTTCAGGGACCTATAAAAAAATTATACCAACATTTAATTTTTTTTTTATGTTGTTTACTCCACTTCATCTTGGTCTTTAGATTCTTATTTATGGGATGCATTCAATAACATTGGTTAATTAGGAGAGGAAGAGAGATTAAACATCCACACAATGCAAATTCCATAATTTCAGGACTAACATGTGGCATATCATTATGTCAATAATTCAAGTGATTGTAGGAGTCTTTAGCTGTAGAAGGAAACTGAATAAAAACCCCAGGGTAGGCTGGTAGTCGTGACCATAGTCCCTGTGGTGTTCCAAGCCTGGGCTCAAAAACACAACTTGACTCTGTAACATTCTTATGATCTAAAACATGTGTTATACCACTTGGCCAACCATACTCATGTCTGAATTGGCCCAGAGAAATAAACTTTTGGTGGGATATATGGTTCACTGCCGGACAACTACTATTTTTATATAGATCCTTTTTTTTCTTGTTACATGTTAATATGTCATAGGTGAATGGTTGTATTATTTCATCATCATTTTCTAAAGGAATGTGCTGAATAAATAAATTTAGAATGCAAAAGTTGTTTTAGTATTATTATTGAAATTTTCGTATAAGGCAAATACCTGGTTTGTTAGCTTTATGAAACAATAGCTGTTTATGTTACATCATAAACATAAGGTAATAGTGGAAAGTGTATGTATAAATATGGAGATTATTCTTAACTGTGTTGTTGATAAATTAAATATGAAGAATATTCTTAACTGTGTTAATAAGTATGGAGAATATTCTTAACTGTGTTAATAAGTATGGAGATTATTCTTAAAGTGTGCTGATTATGTAGATTATTCTTAAAAGTTCATACTGTTGTGTGCTGTCAAGTCCACACTAATTATATTTTCATTGGAGAAGACATTCATAGAAACAAGACTTTATCATAGGCACATGTTTATTCACCTCCTTTGAGGGGAGCTCACTCCTAATCATAAAAATTATCAAGTCTTACAACAGGCAATATGTAAGGGAGATAAATCATGTATCCTTAGTAATAGGATACAGACCACCATACTACATGCTTAGTACTGATATATGGCTATACCAACAATACACTTGTTGCAACTGCCAGAAATCAGGTTTAAAATCTTGTTCTACTTCTCTGCACTGACTGGACTAATGAAGATGAAACTGCCAAAAAAGTACATCTCTAAAATTCATATGTTATATTATTGTTGCTCACAATCTAGTACCAGCATTTTGCTTGTTACAAGAACCATGATATAAAGCCCTTAAATTCATAGATAATTGCATGAATATAATTATCCCACATTGTTTTTGGTAGTTTAATGCTAATCCGCAACATAACGACACCAACCATTACTTGTAGTTTAGATTCAATGGTGTATGCTAGTCATTGCAAGATTACTCCAAAGATCTGAGCCAAAATTTTTGTGATCAGGAACTGGTCCCCAATACTCCTCTTGTTCTTCGAAAAATGCCTAAGGCTCCACCAATTCAAGTAATAATATTACTTGACATCATACATGGTTCAGTTATACTCTCATAATGATATTAAAGGGGGTGGGGGTGTCACTTTAATAAACCAATTTAATGAGTATATTTTTTTATTTCCATTGTTTCACCGATAGCAACAATTGAGTAAAATCTATACATACAAGAAACTGTGTAGATTTAGATCAGATATACAGCCGATTTCCACTTGTAATATATATATATATATATCAGGTGCATACACAATGATAAAAATGGATTTGCACATCTAATTCATAATGTAAAACATGTTATTAATTCAAACTGTAACCATGAAGATAATGGTCTACTATATTTAACACAGTGTAGAGTAAAGTGACAGGTTTTTCAGTTGTTCTTTATCATTTATAAATATAAAGCATCATTTTTGAGAGCAGTTCAAAGGCAGAGAAATAAAGTATATGATATTAATATCACTGTGTTTCTTTATGAGGATCACCATATATTTAAAATCAGTGGTTAAGATTTTAAATGACCGTCACTTTACTATAATACTCACTACATGCACGCATATGTGGCGACGAATGTTTCGAAGAACTTAAATGTGATAATTTAGTAAACAATAAATCTCTGGTGATAATATAATAAAATCACAATAATAATTTAAAATTCACAATCTTATTTATAAATAATAGTGAGATCTGTTATCTTAAGAATCATGTATCACATAAATGTCTGGTGGAATATAGTCTACCCAAACCGTTCACTTCTGATCTCTTTAACCTACAGATTATTAGTTATGGCCAAATCCCCAAGCTTTGACTACAGTTCATATATATGTGTAAAATAAAACAGAGGGCAAGACTGCTAACTGGACGGAATAAAATGTGCTATTGCTTTGTGGATGTTATAAAAGATTTTATCATTGTCATTGACAGACATTGATATATTATCATCATATTTGAATTTACAAACAAGCATTTATATATATGGAAAAATGTTAGAATTCCCATCAAGTACTAAATCAAGAGAAAATGTTTGTTACATAATGTACAAGTTATGTTTCTTATAATTATATATGGACGGATGTATAACAACTTTGGTAATAATGGACTTAAAATTTTAACAATTGATACTTACAATAATAATAAATATATAATCAAATATACATATGGTAGTTATATTTTCTATGTCAATAATCACAGTAAAAAACAATGAAGATACATTTTTTATAGTAGACTATATTATATTATGAAGCCGACACATACACATAAATAAAAATTTATTATATACACAGTTTAAACATACATAAAGATAAATATTTCACACACAACAAACAAAGAATATCTGTAGAATAAATAAAGTTAAAGCACTTACACCTAAATCAATTTAGGATTTTTTTTTTAAACTTTCAACTTCAATACGTTTTTTGGAATGTATCCAAGAGAGAATGTTTTAAAATGACTTCTACTGTGGACACTAAACAAAATTTAATCTTTCTCTGTAAAATGTGGAATGAATACAAAATTGTTTGTATTTCTAGATGATAATTTCTACAGTGGATAAAGAAACTCAAGAGACTTTATATGTGATGTAAAAATAAATACAACCCTTTTTGTAATACATCTCATTGTATTAATTTTTAAAAAGAAATTTAGAATCTGATATAAGAACTTCATTTTTTGACTTTCGGGGTGAAAGACATTGTTTCACAAAAAATCTGCATGAAAAATAAATTTATGTTATGAATGAATGAATAAAATAAATTTTATGCACAGACATATAAGTCACAGCTATAAAAATCTGTTTTATGTTGAATTCAGATAATAAAACATACATATATAATATTCTTAGGACATTAAATACATTGTACAACATATATAACCAAAAGTTGCTTTTCAGATACTTCATACAATTACATGTTATCTATAAACCATTACCTTTGTTTTGATCATTTTATATAACGATAATATTACATAGATCATCACAACAAATACTGAATTTGTTAATGAGATGTTAATTGGATCAAGCAAATTGATCATCTTAAACTGATTGACAATCAAATCACTGTTGAAACATCACTAGGAATAATTTCAGTAGTTTTTTTCCTGTAATTGTGTCTTTAATGTGTTTATCACCTACAAAATGCCACTTCAATATATTAACAATAATAAGCTATACTAATAATTTCTTTTCAAAATAATTAATACTGATCTGATCTGGAATATGAAATAGCATATTTCTTTCCAAACTTCTATTCTTTTATAATATTCGTTAAAAACCTTTTCTTGAATAAGATAGTTTGTTTTTTCCACATTTCAACTGAACATCAGTACATCGCTAAATTTCATCTTAAATTATTTTAATTTATTTAAAATAAAAATATGATACTACAAAGTCTATTTGATTATTACACTTAATACAGTATTTGAGTACAAAAAGATTATATCTGACAAAAAGCCATTGTGAAAGTGCAAACAGTGGGTTATAATTTATTACAATTAAAATGTGACACAGACAACAAATACAAGATATGATTTCTATTTACAATTCACCACCTTTTAACAGGATTATATATAGGAATTTATCACAGGAAAGCAATTTATTTTAACAAGATAAGCTGGGAATAATAGAATAACTCTAGTTCTCGCATCATAATATAAATATAATCTTAAATAAAACATATATACTATACAAAGATGGACGTCATTTCATTAAGAGATTAAAACTATGAATGTTATATACCATAGTAGTTATCAATTTAAAACTGGCTAGGACGGTATCAACAATTATCCATGGTTTATAGTTGGTATTGTGAGTGCTTCAATCATTATTAAAAAACACTGCACATCATTTATAAATTAAACAATTACTTATGTACATCATATTCTTGATCGTGTTGTAAAACAGACTCCAGTGTTGTCTACTATATCCATTATAACTTGCATACTGACAATAAAAACAGATTGGATGTTTTCTTAACACTATAAACCTCTAGTAGCCTGTTTAGCTGGGTGTTTTCTTTAAGGTACATTCCCATGAAAGTATTTATAGATTAATTGTATTCAATAAAAGTATGGCATATTTACTATATATGGAAAGTCGAGACACTCACTCTAGAAAAATACTGGATTCCCTGAAAAACACATCAAAGAACCCCCACAGGCTGTCTCCTAAAGTGATGTAAGGATTTCTTCTGTGTTGATCTAATGGCTAACGGTTGTTAGAACACTGACAGAACCAAACGTCCTGTGACTCTACGATTAAACAAAGGGATAAGAAGTTACCAGAGGATAATCCAAGGTTTTATTTAAGCTTTGATATTTATGGCAAATGGACAGCGATTAATGACAAATACTACAAGCTGGAAATGGATTCTCCCTCAATCAAGTCATGTGAAAAATAAGGCTTAAAGGAACTTAACCTCTAACTCAATATTATCCATAATATATTCGAAATTTAAAACCTGAATTAGAATTCAATATTAGTCAATTTTAATCAATATTGATGTTGTTATCTTACCATGAAAACATGGGGGGATCCTAATATCCAATAATTTAATAAGATACAAGGAACATATTAAAATCAGTACACAACTTCATGTACTGCATGGTTTCGGGCTCCATTTGTAATGGGCAGAGATAAACAAACCCCACAAAACAACGTGGAAGCAATTAATAATTGCTGATTCACATACGACAGATTTATATTTTTAAAAAAAAACATGTAGAATGTAATATGCAGGTGCAAACGACTGCCGTTCAATTTGGGATGTTCACCGAACATGACTGATTAGAAATTACAATAAAAAATTCAACAATTGAATGAAAATCACTTTAAATACTCATATCACAGTAATATGTGAGTTTAGACCTACTTTTCATATATTTGAAGGTACCAATCAATAGAGCTATACGCCCTTTAAAATAGACTTAAAAAGGCAATATATGTAACACAGATTTGTATTTGAAATAAAACATTTTGACAAGTCTGTAGCTAATCAGAAAATATAAAGTTCAATTTAACGTAGGACTTTTTATCAAGAAAGGAGAGAAGTCTATCTGAATACAACTAATAATTACCAACTTGCTTTATCTTACACTCACACAAGGGAAGAGAGCACACTTACCCAGTTTTGGAGACATCACATCCCACAGGGGGTTTTCCTTTAGTGAATGTAAGCCGAAACTAGTTTTAAATAATTAGTTGTAATAAAGAAGACTCTCTCCATGTACTCGATTAAAAATCAAAGTCGAATAAAACTTAATTTTCTAACTCACCACATATTCATCAAAATATAGTCTTTCAAAAACAAGTCATTTTACATTTACGTCTTTTCATTTTCAGACCAAATTCAAGGTAATTTTTAAAATCCTAAGCTGCTACCAGTAAATTTACAATATTCTAAATGTTTCATTTCCAGTTGCCCGGCAACGAAAATGCACCTACATGCATTCTGTTTCTCAAAGTAGCAATAACTCCAACTCAAATGTGTACAAGGCTTTGGTGACAGGAATAATAAATGTGTGAAATCCTCCTTATATGAAGAGCACAGCAATTCCAGCAAGATCGAAAAAATAGTATCAAAAACTGACCTCTACTATGTTATACAAAGTCTCAGTGACAGGGGCAATCACTCCCAGCAAGTTTGAAAACAATGTCTATAAATTAAAACAGTTTGACCTATGGAGTATTTACAAGACTTCATTTTACAAGGACAATAACACTACATAAGATAGATGAGCATCTCTTGAATTTCTAACAGAGGGAATCCAACAAGTTTGAAAAAAAAAAAAAAAAAAAAAAATCAAACAAGACTGTCTTCAACACGCTACACCCTGGAAATGGTTTGAAGGGTACAGTGAAAAGCAATCAACAATCAAATACCAGTAGCGTATATATTATATAGCATATAGGCTAATGAAGACGGGCATACACCACACAGTGTGCTATGATGGAAATTTTGACCGGACAGCGGCACTATGGCCTACTCTTATATCAAATTCCAACTGTCAAGGGATCTTTTACGTGCACAAAAAAGTGTACACGAATGACTAGACAGTTGTTCTTGTCAGCCCCTCCGTCCTGCATCACTGGCAAGGGAGAACCAATATAGCAAATAGTATCGGACATCGCAATTAACTACCTGGTAATTTTATAGTCAAATTAAAATCATGTAATTATTCAACTATTATATATTATAGGACCTGCACCTGAATAATAACTGTATACTAAAAATTAAAGTAATTTTGTTACAATGGAAATACCAATATTAAAGATAGGATGCCAGGCAAGTATATATATGCCCACAGCACCAAAGTCATCCAAGCAGTCCACAAAGAATGTCTGATATTTATTCTTATGTGGTTAACGGTAGCATTCACAAGACACTAAAAGATAGGTTGACAGGCAACGAAACATGCGCCCACAGCAGCTAAATCGGGGCAGTCAACAAGAGTTGTCACATATTTTTACTTTTTTCGGTAATGAAACATTAATAATACATTAAAATCTGATTAAGAGTAACAACTCATCAAGTAATTATCAGAAAACCATTAGAATTTGTTTGGTTTTTATAAAGTTTTGCCCCATGCTAACGTTTAGTATAGGAAACTTTTAACATCATGGATTTAGCTATTCAAGTCATAAAAATTCATTGAAAATCATTATACTTGTTCGTCTCAAGACCTTAAACTCTGTGTATGAATCTGAAGTCAATCGGATGATAACTTTAGCTTCTAGAGGGTCACAAGATTTTTCAAAGTGATCAAGGGCCATAACTTTGGCAGTAATTATCGGAAATCGTTGAAAATCAATATGATTCTTCGTCTCATGACCTCAAACACTCTGTATCAATTTAAAGTCAATCGGATATTAACTTTAGCCTCTAGAGCATTTACAAGATTTTTTGAAGTGATCAAGGGCCATAACTCTGGCAGTAATTATTGACAATCGCTGATAATGAATAAACTTCTTTGTCTTCATGACGTTAAACACTGTGTATAAATTTAAAGTCAATCGGATATTAACTTTGGCCTCTAGAGCGCCCACAAGATTTTTTGAAGTGATCAAGGGCCATAACTCTGGCAGTAATTATCGAAAATTGCTGAAAATGAAAAGGCTTCTTCGTCTCATGACCTTAAACACTGTGTATAAATTTAAAGTCAATCGGATATTAACTTTAGCCTCTAGAGTGTCCACAAGATTTTTTGAAGCGATCAAGGGCCATAACTCTGGTAGTAATTATCGGAAATTGCTGAAAATCAACAGGCTTCTTCGTCCCATGACCTAAAACACTGTGTATAAATTTAAAGTTAATCGAATATTAACTTTGACCTCTAGAGCGCCCACAAGATTTTTTGAAGTGATCAAGGGCCATAACTCTGACAGTAATTATCGAAAATCACTGAAAATCAATAGGCTTCTTCGTCTCATGACCTTAAACACTGTGTATAAATTTAAAGTCAATCGGATATTAACTTTAGCCTCTAGAGTGTCCACGGGGCGACGACAATATACGACCACATTTCAATGTGGGCGTATAAAAATGATTATGAGTAACATTCCATGAAGTAATTATCAGAAATAATTAGAATTTGGTTGGTTTCTAGTTCTACCTGTATAGAAATTTCAAGTTGATCAAATCATAAATTTAGCCTATACATCTTCCACAAGATTATCAAAAAAAATCTATTGAGCTTATTCATTCATAAAACTTGTAATTTGTTACAACTATGAAAGCAAACTTTAAATATCCTTAAAGAAAACACAAGATAATAAATTGTAATCTCTTAATGTATCGCAAATAAAAACAATTTGATTAATCTAATGGGGAAGGACAGACGGGCTGATGGCCGGATGACCAACTGACAGAACGGACTGACACAGGTGGTGACAATATACTGCTACATAAAATATGAACTTATAAAAAAGGGCTAAAGAGGATATTCTGAGGTTTATAGTGTGAACTGTCCATTTCCCAACAATTTCTTTCACTTAATATACAAGTATATTATTTGGCATATCGTCGGTGGGGAGTCAAAAGGTCTTTCTTATCTGGCATATTTTGCGAAATTCACTTTTCTGCTTCTTCAGAATGGGAATTTTCGTGCACATCTTTTCATCTGGTAGTCATATTTCTAAGCCAATAAAAAGAGATTTTATGGACATTGTTTCAAAATGTTGTATATGGGGTGTTCCAAAAAAAAAAAAATTAAGAGTGAAAACATCGTATTTTGTTGAAAAAAATCAACTTTGTATCTAACCAAAGCATTGCAATCAAACGAAATATAGCCAGTATTGTTTTATGGTTAAATACGTATTACTGAAATTATTGTTGAGCCTCTATTGTGTGAAATCTATGAAATTGAAGCAGCTAAAGCTGAATATTTTCCTGAGATACGTCTTTGTTGTATAAAATTGCAAATAACTAGCTTTCACTCCTTATTTCTGCACTAGATGTTGAGCTTGATATGTGCGGATCGTTACATACTGTTTAAATGGATACACATACATTTTATAAATAAATTTTTGAGAAAAGCTTCAGAAATACGACATTTTACATACAACATTTTGACGTGACGGTTTTATAAGACATTTTGATTCTTAACCTCTGGGCTAGTTTTGGCTCTCCTGGACAATTTCCCAAAATCCAGATACGACCTTTTGGATCCCCATCGACGATATAGTAATTCAACAACCAGAGCAATATGCACATCTAGAATCTTCCAATACCAATATAAATACTAAAAATATGTAAAATACAATGTTACAATTAAATAGCAACAAACCAAACAAGTTTTCATCTTCGAATCCTGAGAGAAGATTTCAAGCTTAAAAAAACAAAACAACTTGAAGGTTTGGTGTTAATTAATTGAACAATGATGTTCATCATCATCTAATGTCTACTATGAATTAGTAGAACTGTAATGTCCATTATATAAATAAAGCAATAGATATTCATAACTGATTGATTAGAAATTTTGATTTGTAACTTCCTTGAAAATAATTCATACCTGAATTTCGGCTTTTCAAAATAATCCGAGCTAATATCACAAGACAATCGACACATCAAAAAGTTGTTATCGATCCAACAATTGATTTAAAAACTCTACATGTCTTGGCGTAATGTTGGGATCTGCTTGTGCCTTGTCTATTAAACTAGTGCCCATATTACTGTATAAGACATTAGCCAACTGAGCAGACGCTGTCCGTAAATCACAACTACCACCGTGCACTGCTCCACTAGAATTCGATGCAACAAGAAGATGCCATAATAATGGCAGAACACGCAATATCACTAACTTTTGTTTCTTCACATAAACTTTCTGTACCAAATCTGAAATAATAAATATGTTTTATAAAATACCTGTCAAAATGTACCCAATCATAAACTTTAGAAATTCATTTTGACAGAATATAATTACCATCAGTATAGATTTCTAACTAACAGATATATATTTTCTTAGAGCAACATTCAACAGTTTAAATTAAGATTAAAAGATGAATGTAGTGGTTAATCATTATGTTTATATATACCAGTGGGTATATATAGGAACTATATAGTATTGTATTTAACATGAGAACAAAACAGGTCATCTATTGACAGGGATGGAAATTAACAGAAATTAAAACACACATACTTTAATAGACAAGACTATAATCAAGAAGAGTTAAAAACTTAGAAGCTTCCCTCGTCTTTGCAAATATTTTAAGCGCAGGGAATTTCTTTTGACTACAAAAATAAAGTGTCATTTTTCAGTGAGATATATTAATATAAATTAAAAAGAACTTACAGGCAACTTTCTCTACTATTTCTGGTTTACTTCTAGGACCAGCCGCAATAGCCTGATTGGCAAACGGTTCAATTAATTGACACGCATCTGTTGAATAAAAATAAAATCAAGTCCTTTTTCAAAATTGTTATCAATTAGATTTTAAAAAATAAATAATAAATTTCTATGCTAAGAAATCCATATTTTAAAATCTCTGTTACTGCTGTCACGATAATTATCCATTTTTGCATTTAATCATCAACAGACATTGAACAGCAGATCGGATTCAAATCCAATTAAAATTGGACATATAAGATGGCATAAAGAGTTGATTATGGTCTTTTTATGTTAATAAATGTCTAATTAATAGTTTATATAACATTTTAGGTCTAAAGAAAGACCTGCAAATAGGCAGATTTACCCCTTGCATAATGCATCTTTAAATTAAAAACTACATATTTTTTCTGCTAATTATAACCATTTGTATTCAGAAATTTGAAAAAATATATAAGTATTATCAGGTGTTCTAGAGAGGCACACACGTTACATAAATTTCTATTGAAACTATCTTACCTATATGTTCTATTAAGGCTTCAAGAATATTTGCGGCCGCTTCATGGATGTCTCTGTTTTTCGATGACAGATTGGGGACAACATTACCAATAGCTATGTTTAATACAGGACCTTGTGGTAAACTATCCTTTAATAGTGGAATAACTTGAAACATAACTTGAAGAGCAAATAAATTCACTTTACTATTAGAATCGACTAACCGTGGCGAAAATTTATCAAATATCTGCAAGAGAAAAGATTTTTATTTATCACTTTATTACTTTAAAGTTAATGCACACTGTCGCTGATAGTCTACAAATGTCGTTAAAATCTAAAATTACCAATAAAAAGATGAAATGTAGCTTGGTGTTGATGTTTGTGACAATTCTAAGAGAAATAAAGTTGGTAGTGTGAAATCAATAGAACGTTTTGTAGTGAAATTTAGATGGCTTTAATCATTCTTAAACCGATATTTGGCCAGGGGGTGATAAAACATCAGGTAAGCCACCATGTAACAATTAATAACAAGTGAAATAAGAAATAAGTATATTATAATACCTTTACTATATGAGGTGCAACTTGATCTGGGTTAGCTTCACATAATACTAAGAAATCTTTTAGGGCATTATATCTATCATTCCAATTACTAGCTGACATCATATCTATCATCTGATTTATTTCATCTAATGTAGCAGCATCAGTTTTAACTGTTCTACGTCTAGGTAAAGGTGTATTATTGTTCCCATTGGCACTAAAATAAATATAGTATAACTTTAACATAAATAGATTTTTTTGATAGCTTGAGATTTTCAATATCAAAATTAGTAATTATTTCATGTATTTCCTTCTTGGAAAGAGAGTAATAGTAAAAATGGTTGTTGATCACCTAAAGAAATGAATGAATAATTCACCTATAAATATTGATTTTAAAATTATTCACTACCACTATTAAACAGTAATGCCCAGATTGATAAATTGTAATGGCAAAAGTTACAAATCTAACCTGTTAGCTGAATTTCCACGAACTGTCGAATTTGATCGACTTCCATGTCCTGATCGTCTAGATTTAGCAGATGGGGTTTCATTTGGCATATCTCCTAATCCCTAGAAATAAACAAATTATCAGATCATTAATCCAATGCAATAAATCACTCTAAAAAAATATGATTTCATTGTAAAACTAAAGAAATACACTGTAGATTCGATATTTACAACAGTATCACAGTGTTCAATGTGTAGTGGGGAATTATTAACAGCAAAAACACTGAGTCAGTGCCAATTCTAGCTAGTGTCTAAATAACATAAATTTATTGTTTACCTTTTGTTTTAAAGAATCCAGTGTTTCTTGTATATTTCTAATTGTAGTAGAATTTACATGTTTATTTAACATCTTCTCAAAATCTTGATGTGACATCAATGTATATAAAATCTTTCTACCATAATACCTTCAATACACATAAATAAACAATGTACAAAACAACCCTTCTATATCTCTAAATTCATTCAAATTAAACATAAAAACACAATTACTTCAAAGGTTACTTAAGCTTAACAACATATCTAATTTGTTTGTTTTTTTGGTTCTCTTGGCTGGCCCTACCACCAAAAGGATGAAGTTCAGTGTGTATAAAGTTTTGTGTAATTATCTTAAATATTTTTTCCACATCTCAGTTTTTCACAAAAGAACGGTCGACACTTTAGTTTAAATTCCACCCTTTGATAAACAGTCAATATTATGTTCTTTTAAATATAATAATAATAGTAAGATGAAATGTTCAAATGAAGAAGTATTATACCTTGTTTCTGGTGAACCATCTTGTATAAATTTAGCAGCTGTAGGCAGTATTTTATCCGTTATATCTTTAATACCACTGAGAATACGACCGGGACCCATCTTTTCTGTTAGTTCTACTAAAAACTGAGCTGTCATCTTTCTCACTGGATTACTCTTGTGCCTATAATTTAAATCCAATGACAGAATATTAGCACTACTGGGCTGGTGACTCTTCTGGAGTTCTTTGATCCTTGGGGTTATCGCATTGCTCCAGTTAGATTTAAGTACAGGGACATAGGGTTCACCCAAATTTTTGTTATACTCTTGTTCTTCCTTACACACACTACTATTCCTTTCCACTTACAATTGTTATATTGAAATAAAGATAGGATGTACTTACCCAGCACCACCTAATATTAAGGCTGTCAGTGCTCTTGGTGGACTAACATTATCTATCATATTCTCTAAAGCTTTCTCTACATCTTGCTTGATAAAACCATTACTTTCAGCATTTTTAGCTAATAATGTGCGTGTTGTAGAATCGAGATCCTAGAAGAAAAAAAAAAAAAAAAAAAAATGTAATCACACACTAGTAAATAAGTTAACATATCAAAAATAATGCAGTTTTTAATTTTCAAAAATTTGAGTTGTTTCCCCTTTGACCACAGACACAAATGACAAAATGCATGCTTATTTATTCACTATCACTAATAATTATTGTAAAAGTGATAAAATTTGAGTTGTCGCCCCTTTGACCACAACCATTGAAAACTGATAATTTTAACAAATTTGATTTGTCTTTTCTATCTTTAAGTCTCTGTGAGAGGCCTTCCCAATTACTTGTCATATCAAACTGACAAGGATAACCTCTGGAGCTTGTTTCATGAAGCTTTTAAACTGAAGTTATACAATTTTAAAAGTTGGTTGTATGGTAAAATGTCTTTGATTAACGTTTTGCAAGCCCAATTTCACAAAACAAAACCACTAGTCTTAAGTTGTTATTATAACTAATTTCTATACTTACTGGATCCATTCCACGTTTTAAATTGGCAAATAGTTCACCTAAACAACATATAGCTAATCGCGAAACTTGAGAACGCAAATTCTTCACCTACAATAAATAATAAGCATTTAATTATAATTCAAATACAATCTGTATGTTAATCATCATCAGTACAAAAAAAAATTGAGTCTAAGATTATTTTGAATATGATCTTATTCAAAACTAATTAAATTTTCTTGGAATAAGCGATAATGTCTCTTTAATGATGTCATATTTGAAGATGCACACTTTTGGCTGCCAGATTGTAATTAATTTTTGGGACGATTGTGTGTGATTAGCAGCATACTAGTAATAAGATTATTATAAGAAGTTATAGAATATATACTAACCTCAGCATTAATAGCTACTGTAACTGTATGTAATTGTGCTTGTATGACATCAGAATGATGTAAACTAAGTTGTCTTATTTTATTTATACCATCACATTTAACATCCCTGAAGAAAAAAATTATTCATACATTACACAATTTTACTAAAGTCAGGCTTTCAGGTGGTCAGACACCCGATTTTAAAGTAGATATTGAGGCTCACTAATCCACAGAAATGTCAATAGTATTGTCAGCTTGTGCATACTTAAAGCTCCTGACAATTTTTACTCCAGGGGAAGTAGGTAAAGTGACACTACTTTGACACTCTGTTTTGGATACTGCAATCTTTTTCCAAATTTATAAACTTACCAATCATCTTGTGAAAGTTTTTTAAGAGCGTCTTTAAGAACAGCATCTGGATCGCGGACAGGTTTCCAATCTTCTGGATTATCAGAATCAGTAGGTGGTGGATATTGTGCTGACATAGGAGAACTAGATACTGGTTTATTTTCTCTGTAAAACAATAATTTTTTAAAAATTTACTAAGAGTTCAGAATGTTACACACAACTCAGTTGCTCCAACTCTACTTTATAAAAGGTTTTCAAAAAAACCTTTCTGAACTTACGTTTTAATCTTTTTGGGTGTTATTGCTGGAGGAAGTGGTTTAGGTGGACTGGTTTTAGCAGGACTTGGTGATGAACTTGATCCATTGATTGACAAAGCTGTAAAAATAATAATAAACTTATCACTACTCAAATTCTACCATACAGACATTGAGAAGCCCAACTACCAATGCTAGCAATATCTTCCTAGTTCATACCTATATTGATCTCACTGTTTTATTTCAAGAATACATGTTTTGTCAGTATGATGAAATCACTTAATTTGATCCAACCACCTAAAGACATGTAATGTACTGTGTATGATCAAAAAGATTAAAATTAGATGTCAATTACTTTTTGAAGCTGATGTTCAGATCACGTAAACTTATACACTAATCAAATTGCCTCTATTTGTATTCAGGTCTGCATTTTGTCTTGGATTTTTGAGTAGGGAGAGATATAATACAAATGATTCTGACTGACTTGGCGGTGTATTTGGAACTTTCATTGCTAGAATACAGTGGTATTACAAAAATTAGGCTGGTTCAATGTCGTGTAAGAATTAGAAAATCAAAGCAAATATAAGGATGTATGTATAAAATGATGCAACCAACATGTGCAATGCATGGGTTATGTAGACAATAATTTATCTATTATAAAGATAACTTACTTTCTATGCCAAAGTTTTCACTACTACTTAAACGCCGTAACTTTTCTTGTTGTCTCTCCTTTTCTTTTCGGATTTTTTCTTCTTTCTCAAGACGTTTCTGTTCTAATTCCTCTTGCCTTAACTGGATTTGCTTTTGTTTTATATGATCTATGCTTGCCTTGGTCATATTTAATCCTGGTACCGATGATTCCTGGAAAATACATTTTACGATGCATAAGAAATGAACACTGCTATATAGAAAGATCTCCATTTGACATGTTTTTATCAGACTAAGTATGGAAATATATGGGTTCATTTCGCGATCCCAACAAACAGATGTAGGGAAATTAACATGGTGGATACATTACCCCTGCACATGTCACAAAAGTTTCAAATTTTCTAAATTCAGTATCAATATCAATCGTATTGTGTACATTCGGTACCAAAATTTTGTCCTTGTGAAGACAGTATTTACCGGTCAAAAGACGACATTTTGAGGGAAATATGTGGCAAGTAATGGAAGTAGCCGGGACAGTGGTTTAGCCGACGTAAAAGATAATGATCCATATACTTCCACTAGTTTTCACATATAAGTAGCAAATAAAATAATGCACATTGACTTGGAAGTTGGACCAAGCGATGTGCTTCAAGTGGAACAAACACTGAAAGAGAAACGTATATAATTTATTAATACCAATGATAGGTAATTGAAACAGGTTTACTTAATAGACCACTAACTGACAGGTTGTGGAAAGAAAGAATGACGTATAGAGCTTTTAATTCACAAATCTTATAATAAAAGTGGCTTTTCTATTACAAAAATGGTTAAAGGGATGTTTAAGTGTGCTCAAATTGAACTCCTACCAACCAGATGAAATCAAAACCTATCAACTCCTAACCCTTCTAACATCCACTTAATTAATAAATGATATCATCATAGGCATAAACAAGTTTTCAGAATATAATATCTGAGTGGCATTTAGTGATTGAGCACATTAAAAAAAAACACAACACAATTTATATGGAAAACAATTTATAGACATGTTGTGCTATATGCAGTGATTGTTTTCCATTGAAATTTTTAAGTTTTCAGTAAACGGTCAAATACTCAAGTAGGCTTATTAGAAAGTTTTAAATAAATTAAATAGATCTTATCACGTTAGCGTTAAAACAATTTTTGATTATAACATGATTTGAAGTATGACTGTCATTTGAGAGATTTTTTTTTAATACCTTGCAAAGTACAATATTTCCAGATCATGCATAAAATCAATAAGCTACATGATCCAAAACATTTATTTAATTAATGCTCATCTTTTTATTTCATCCTACCCCTGTCTTCAAAAAAAGATCAAAACTCCATAAAATCCTTAAAATCAACAATATAAGCTTATAAATATTTCAAAAATTCTCAATCAAGGAAGTTAAGTACAATTCAAAAGATTTTAATATTTTTCGATATTCCTTTGTACCAAAATCTCTCCAATAAATCAATAAAATATAAATAATCATTTTACTTACATGAACAATAACAAATTCAATCAGTAACAAACAAAGCTTTTATCGGAAAAATATTAGTCCATGTACGTCATAACGATAAAACCATTTCAAGTTTTTTTTCCTTAGGTTTAAGATTTAACAGAGCATTGGAGATATGGGTAAAGTAGCGTATAAAGATATATCATCCAGTACTGTCTACAAGTAATAAGTCTATTGTTGATAAACTGTCTGGTTGCTATGACACAGTTTTCAATATGCTTTAAATACCATAAGTCAATATAATGCATTATAACTATATGATTTAATAAAACGTTGAACTCAATATAATCAATCATATACCGTCATTATAAATAGTAAATTATTACTGATAGAGAAAGGGGTGAAGAGTGTTCTAGTCTACATGCTCAGATCACAATTTAAGTGAGAGATGGACTAACAGGACTCAAAATTCAATGATCTGCATCTAGTTCTCAGGCCATTTTTTGAAAAAAGACCTTACACAGCAAACAAAGCCTCTCTAAGGCCATTTTTTTCAACACCAAAGCCATTTTTTCAATTTTGAAATTATCGAAGGCCATTTTTTAAAACCTGTTGAAAATTTAAATTAACTTGAATAACGTAATGGAAATAAAATGGGGTTTAACGTCCTACTGTCCTGCTCCGACTGTTCTAACGAAGACGGAATAACGTAATGGAGCCATACAATTGAATCGGCTCTTGGTTTAGATCAGTAAATATTATGAGAATTGTTGTATACCCATGGAAAAGAAGAAGGGCTCATCTATTCATTTTATTCTGCATTTGTTATAAAGAAAGAAGCTTGAGTAGATTTTTTATTATTATTATGACACAACATAATAATTTGATATTCACTGTTAAGGGTTGCAGAATTGACTTTCTGAATATAGGAAAAGATGGGGGTCTTTGATGATTTGACAATTTTTACGCTCTCAAAAAGTCAATACTCAGCAGAGACAATCATATAATCAACTGACTCCTTTTCGCCTTTTTTATGGCTTTAAATAAAAGCGTGTTGGTGGCATTTTTGACTGTATGTGCCCTCAAATGACCTTGAAATTTTCCATGACATACAACATTCAATTTTTTAATGACACTCGCTCCAATTATATGAACTAATACATCCGTTGATTGTGCTTGGCTCTTCAGGGAATTCTGCACAAAATTTACACATGACCTTCTTGAAAACTCCATTCTCTTCCTCCATGATGTCAATGTCCCATCCATCAACCGTAATTTTCAGGGTATAACTTATAAGTATAAGTCCATACTATTTTTCTGCGTAAGTCGTGTCTTTGTCTTATACTCCGCTTGACTAATATATGGATGAAGGTAAATCAAAAAATAACATTTAAAAAAAAAAAAATTTGTCACTAACCGTCGCTCCACTATGCCGAGTGACATCATCTGCTAAGTAATAGCACTTGGCTTGTGTGCTATTGTCTATATCGAAATATTTGTCTACATTTTTAAATATTTTTTTTAGCTTATCTCTTTTATTAAAATAATAACCCCTATTCAAAATATAATCATAAATGATAAATCCTACAAAATGCCATCAAAATAGAAGCTTTCTTGTTAAATTTTCACGTTTCCATCTCTCGTAATATCTCGCGTCTCAAGAGATTTCTACTTTGGTTTTCAGTTAAATTAACCCTTCATACAATTTCTGCTTTGTTATTTTGTTAGGTTTCTTAGTAACGTTAATTATATTATAACCACATGCGAATAGAAACAGAATGCAAAAGAGGTATTAGACTAGGAAAGTTTTGCGGAAAAAATGCATCTCACACAATATGAACTTTTTCATTTTTTTTGGCTTCCAATATGAGTGCTATCAATGGCAAGTTACGGTATTTCTACGGCTGTCGTATGTTTATTCATTTACTACAGCAATTTCTAGCCCTCGATGTTAAAGCTATTGAGTGCCATTTCTATGGCTTACGAAAGCAATTGCCGCGATGACCGTCTAAGCTCCCGAATAGATCACTGTTTATTTTAAAATCCCCCCCGTAATAAACCTGTACCACATGACAGTACAAACTGTTTCTCCTAATCCTATACAGGTTCCTTTTTCTCGATAAATCAAGAATAGATGTACATGTAGATTGAAGGAAAGGTAAAAGCATACAATGAGGGTGGGGATCCGTTAAGACTAAATCTTCTCCTTATCCCACCCGCTTGAAGTGTGAATCCATTTGGATTCAAATAATTTTCTAAGTGACAAGAGAGAGAGAGAGAGAGAGAAATGGGGTTTAACGTCCACTCGACACAAACTAGGTCATTTCGGGACTAACATATGGTTCAATTTTATTTCCATAATTCGCTTGCGCGTAGGGATCTTTAGCTGTGGGAGGAAACCGGAGGACCCAGAGAAAACCCACGAGGTTGGACAGGCGACCCTACTCCTTGTCACGTACAACCGTGGATTCGAAACCACGCCAGTTGACTCAATGACAGACTTTATGATACAGCGCGCGCATGCTAACCATTCAGCCATCCAACCCCCCCTTCTAAGTGACAAACGTACTGTGGTACCCAACAACTATATAAAGGGAACATAAATCTCACTTAAGCCTGTTAAATTTGAATAAGAATGCAACTAGCAGTTTTAAGAGAAAATGTGGGACAGCTACCCATCAATATATAGATTTCTAATTGGACGGGCATACACCATACAGTGTGCTAGTATGAGGTAAATTTTGGCCAGACAGCATCACTATGGCCTACTCTTATTTGTTATTCCAATTGTCAAGGGTTCTTCTATGTGCAAGTCAATGTGTACACGGAACCTTGTTTTCTTGTACCATCCAAACAACTGGACAGCTGACCTTGTCAGAGCCTCCTGCACCACTGACAAGGGGAAACCACGTCGGAATATCAGGAGGAACTTTCTAGGCCAACACGGCAACACCTACTAAAGACCTCCAGGCTAGCGAGCCGGTGTCTTACTCATGGAAAAGTGTTCATATCAATCTAATTAAAATATAGATCTATATTTCGTTTCGTTTTTTATACTTTCGATGGCCTACACTACATGTAGATCTAACAAGTTATAGTGGGAGTTCACGTTCTATGACGTCAGGTACCAAGCAAGCGACATTTGACCCGATTACGTCAGTCATTCGATTAACCAATTAGCGACCGCCATGTATTTTTTATCTACTTTTGCTTTGTTTTGATTTCTATTGCCGCTAATGTCTACCCACAGTTCCGCGCAAAAAATGTCAAACCCTCGATTTGACAGACCATTTGATTGGCTGACCCCTCATTTCAAGAAGAACACGAGTTAAATAACAACGCTTCCAGATCCAAGTGTAGTAAAGACAAGTAAAATCGAAAGTTTGAACTACCGGTATAAAAACGAAACGAATTGGATCTGTGTTTTAATCAGATTGTGTTCATATGGTACAATATCTATTTGATGAGCGGTGGTTAAGGAGAGTTGGACAAATTAGGCGTTGATTTGTCATTTTATGAGCATTTGCTGGTCTGGACAGTCTGGATACTTTTGAGAATTTTCACATAGATTGTGTCAAATTATCGATATGACATGTAGGTTAAAAACTGAGAAATATTGATACATGGTAGGTGTATTGTTTAACTCTTTTATCAATAAAACTAATATGAGAAAATAGAAATCTCGATTCTTGATGCAAGAAAAAAACATTGAAATAAAGCTAACATTTCTAAAGCATACTAAATGCTGCTGGCTATTTTGTGGGCTATAGACTCAAGTCAATTGTCTTTCACATCTTAGATTTAAAACCTACTTGATGTTACTGACAGCATTTTCACATCAGTAAACAGACTTCATTGAACCTACAGCTCCAGCTATTGTTACATCTTTATTTTAAGTATCTAATGGACTTCAAATCTTTTAAGTAAGCTAACATTAAATTCCATGTACAATAAGTAATCCATTTCAACAAAATTGACAAAATTCAGTCTCTTTTCAATAGATAGCGCTCTTATTGTTTGGCTGGAGCAAGTAAATAACTTTTACTTACAGAGGAAAACATGGATCAGAGAATAATATTTTAGTTACATCATCCAGTTTTTGTTTTATTATGTCAAATACCTAAAATTTTATGGAATGAGCTTTGCATAAGCATGTCAAGATGAATACAATGGCCATGTTTCACAATATGTATATAAAGTTACATAGAAGGAAGTTCAATAGAGTTTTATATTAAAATATTTCATTAACATAAGAAGTATTTCTTGTTCTTTGTGAAACAGGACCCAAGCCTCTGGCTTTAGCAACAAGCAGTAATTAGCAAGAGCAACCATATAAAATCAACTAAAATACACCTACAAAAAATAACTGGCCATAGACTAAAGTCTATAATTAATGTCATTAAAATTATGAATGTTTCACTACATGTAAAAGGGCTAGAAGTATAATAACCACATTATATACTTACATCTAGGAGATTTTCTTCATCTGATAAACTATTTAATGAACTATAAGAGTTTGATTCACTGGGACTGTTTTTAACCCCTATTCCATACACTCCTTTAGGAACAATCTTCACTTCATTACGATTTGGACGGTTTTCTGGTGAAAGTTGATAGGAAGTGTTGGTAATCTCATTACCATTAACAGATGAATCGAAAACACCTAAAAATATCATACAAATATTTGAGCGAATGTATTTAAAATCTGGGGGTCTCAAGAATGATTAAATTTCTGTTTTTAAATTGTAATAGCTCATGGTTCTCAATATAGGCATAATAACGTTCACAGGAGAAAAACAGCTCTGTAAATTCAGTGAAAAAATGTTTGACATGGATCTACTTAATAAAAACAAACCAATACCTACAAATATTGCACAAATTACATAACCATAAATACAAAGTGCAAAATGAAATCTTGCATTGTGCAAACTTTGCTCCCCATGTAAAATCTAGCCCTGAAAATTGTTCATATACATGTACTAAATTCTCCTTTTCTCTGATATTCCTGTAACATACCCTTTCCTATCATAGTTATTTTCTGTTGTCGAGGAATTCTATCATCATGCATATCTGCCGCCCCTGTACTGTGCATGGAAGCCATACCAAGAGGTGAAAAATGAGTGC